AACCCTAACCCTAACCCTAACCCTAACCCTAACCCTAACCCTAACCCTAACCCTAACCCTAACCCTAACCCTAACCCTAACCCTAACCCTAGAGCTCCGCATGGGTGTGCATCGGGTCTCCGAGCGTGACTCTGACATTGTGGAATCGTTATTCCTGCACATGCCCCCTAACCCATCGTTAACCGTCAAACGTGGCACCAGCTACTTTCTCCCACGCAAGCCGTGTAACGCAAGAAGCCCATAGCCACACCCTTATTTGGACGGTGCAAAGTGCCACACTGTATAGTCCCATATCTCTTCTGGCATCACTGCACCTCGCTGACGCGGGGTAGATCCGTCGACCAACTGAAAAGGGCAGCAATGCCCGCCAACCTGACTTTCAATCGAGCCTCACGTTCTGCGCTCTGGCAATGACGCTATTCAGACCGTATGGTAGCCCGAGGCTAGTTGCTGTAAATGACTGTCAGTATGCTCTGTTAAGCCGCGTGGCAGCCCCCTGTAAACCACAAAACGATAGATGACCTCGAGGCATTTACATCCTGAGCCTCTAAATCGATTATTATGCTGGATGTAAATGCATTTACAGAGGCTCCATTACGTGCGATGCTCAATCTGAACATTGCCGGAGGCGGTACTCGAGCCTCATGTCTGCAGAGTTTTTCCATAGAAACCTTCGACATTGCGCGAGCGTGAGATTCGGCGGAAGGACAACGTGGTTGCAAAGGATCTCGATAGTCTCGTGCGCCCAGAGGCCCCCCGCAGCGGCCCCGAGAACAGAAGGTGTAGCATCGCCGGAAGAAGAGACTGCGGAGGGCCGACGGCTGGCTACAATGCTGTCGTCACCAGCGTGAGGTAGCTGCATATCGAGTTTCTCTGCAACATAAGTCGCGACCTTCTTCATTCGTAGCATTTGTGTTGCAGTCAGGCATGCGTTGCTAAGAAAGAGAGCAGTCAGTCATGCGCACTCTAGCACATCCACTAACGCAAGCACCTATTGCTCACCCTGAAGGCAAAGCAGGCATCGTATGGAACACACCGGCGGGCGCTACACCATCTGACGCGCCTCCCGAGTAAGGCTGCAGAATGAAGCTTGATTTGATAGGATCTTTCTGCTGAAGTTCTCCTTGGAAAAGCATCGCCAAAAGCCATCGCGGTGCGCACAGCTCTAGCGCTGGCACATCAACCGCGGTGCTACCGACCAGTCCTCGGTACGTGACTTCATACTGGCCTGCATCCGCAGATGATTCCGAAAAGACAACAGGTGTGCTGTGCGGGAGACCGTACACCGGTGCATCGCTTTCGGGCAGAGGTTTCATCGTTCGGCAGAGAATCTCTCGCGCCGCACGGACGCGTGTATGCTCTGCGGAAGCCTTTTGTGCACAAAGAGGAAGTCAGTCAATTTAACGAAATTGTACTTTTTTTGCCGCTCGCTCACATTCGCAGTTGATGACACTGTAGTATCCACAGCAGCAACATCACCATATACATTGCGCGATTGCTTCTGACTCTTGGGTCGTGCCCGCTTGAATCGGCTCATGAAGCCAGTTGGTGTTGTTTTACTGTTTGGCGTCATAACTGCATTGACTTCTGTTGATGGAAGAGGTATTGTAGACGGATGCGAGTCGAAATAATTGCTAGGACCATCAGCAGGTATTTTGAGCGCGTTGAGCATACGATTGAGACCGCTCGAAGACCCTGGACTGAACGGGGTAGAAGACGGGAAAATAGCAGGTATACTGGGAGACGTTACCATAGATATCGTCATGCCAGGAGTGCGCGGACGGAGGGCTGCAAAAGACGGAGTCTGGATAGCCAAGGCGTCACCTTCGACTTCAAATACCTCATGTGCTTCGGCCGCAAGTGCAGTTGAACCGGCAAGCTTGCCGCTTCTGACGGAAACCTCGGCCGTGAAGAATCCATGGAGAAGATTCCGCAACAGCAACTTTCCAACATTGACTGAAAAAGGTGCATCAGAAACTCAGTGGTAATTATGAAATGCCGAATGACGGACTCACCGCGCTGGTCTTCCTTCATGGCGGCCGGGGGAAGGAAGCTCAACTCGTCGAGATACATTTCAGCATCGTAGCACCTCGGCTCTTGCAAGTGCACTGTGAGACTCCCCGCCCTCGTATCTGCCGTGCACCATAGAGGTGTTGCTCCACAACCCTCAATGCGCTCCCGAACGGCTTCCAGCACTTCACCCGGATAGCTCACTGCCTTCCAATTTTCCCTTTCAATGTCATTTTCTGGGAGTGGTGAGTCGGCGAGCGCGGCAGTACGGACTTGATGCGCTTCAAACGTGCCCAGGCAGGTGCACTTAATGATGTCCCACAGGGCGACATTGCCAGCTGTGTCGATAGTCAAGACATGCCGCCGGTCGTTGAGCATGCAAGAACGTATGAGCCCGTGAGACCCTTCCAAGACCTCTGCAGGGGAGCCGCGTAGTGGCGTTGCGTCTTGCGCTAGTTCGCGCTCTTCAAAAGCAGCTTGCAACTGATGCCCGACTCCAAGCTCCCTATCCTCTTCCGCGTCCAACACCAAACTTGTGCGCGAGTTGATACTTGGCGCCACATCAGAATTGGGCGGTGATGTGGCTTGGTGCGCGTGCTTGAAGCTGTGGGAGAACCGAAGAGACGATGAAGGACTTTGCATGGTGCCGACAACGTCGAATTGAAGTGCCGCAGGGAGCGATGCGGCATCATAGGCAGATCGGAGAGGAGACATGTCCGTGTTCACAAGGTGCATCCGAGCAGCTGCGGAAGAGACAGGATGGTTGAAGGTGTTCATCGACTCTGTTCCCATCCCATGCGTCCTCGGGACCACAAAGCTGCGTCGCACGCTGACGCTGCTACGGCCAACTGCGTAGAGCTCATTGAAGGGGGAGAGGTTGACTAGGCTGTCAAAAGGAATACCATTGAAGTGGTACGAGTGCGCGTGCTCGTCACTGCCTTCTTCTTGAGTAAGGTTAAAGCGTGCAAGCGGGGAAGAAGTCATTCGAACCCCAACGAGCCCTGCCATTCGACTCGGAGAAGGCGAACAAGCGGCAACCGATGCCTCGGGCTCGGAAAATGACACGCCAGAAGATCCAGGCAGTGGTGCATGTCCTGATCGGGGCGATGCTGAAGATTGTGTCAGATCGTTACGCAAGGGAGAGGGTCGCGTTGCATGTTTTTGTGGTGCCAGCTGTCCTGGTGAGTCGCTCGGGTTACCAAGCATCCGTGCCGCGTTTGCCTGAACTGAAGTATATAGTGCTTCTCTTTCGCACCGCGTGGGAATGTCTTCCCAAACCCTCACGGAGGATGAATTGGAAGCGGTGCAGAAGTATGCGTTGTCGATAGCGACGATCTTGTGTATGCCGGAGTGTGTCAATTGTTTGTGCCGTTGAGACCATGCCGCTGCACTGGTAGCTTTTCCGCGGGTAGCACTGCCGTTGTGCTGGGTATTTTCTAATGTGCTCTCGTCTTGCCCTGCGACTGAGTCTCTACAGAGTACAACGCACTCGCCTTCATCAACTTCCGCACATCGCTCCCAGTCGACCTTGCATACGTAGCCTTGACGATCGCCGCTGTAGAATATGTCGAGCCGCGGGTGATCCGAGTAGAGGCTCCAGACTGAGTCATTGTGATGCTCAAATGTGTGAAGACAACGCTGCTCCGCAACCGACCACAAGCGAATGGTCGAGTCCGACGAACCGGAGAGGATCTGTTGTCCGTCATTGGAGATGAGAAGCGACTTGACATTGTTTGTGTGGCCGATGAGCTTCGCAATCTGCCGCTTCGCTCTGACGTCCCAGACGCTGACAATATGTTCGGTAGACCCGACGGCAACCGTGCGGGCAGATTCGTCCGTAGCAAGCGCATAAACCGAGCTCTCAGACTGCCCTCCCCCAGGACCTAGCTGGAAGACTGGCTCGCCGTCGCCGGACCTCCCAGCATTGAGGTCCCAAAGCTTGACGCAGCGATCAAATCCACCACTGAAGACTTTCGAAACAGCTGGTGCAAGCGCGAGGCATTTGACATAATCTGCGTGAGACCCGATCGAATGCGGCTTGAACTGCGAGGCAGTGTGGTGCGGATTCCAAGCCTTCACTGTGCGGTCTGATGAGGCAGAAATGACTATTTGTAATATTTTCGGTTCTAATCAGCACTCATTATCGGCTCTTGTATCCGAAGCCTTCACTCACGCGTCTGGTTGTCGTTGCAGAGCACGATCTCGTTCACCCAGTCCGTATGAGACTGGATGCACTGCCTGAAAGCTGGTTTCCGTCGGCGCGCCTTTGGATGCCAGAATGGCTGCACAGCTTGGAAAGTATGCGGGGACACTTTGATTGACGTCGGTCTCCCGGAAGCTGGGCTTTTCTGTAAGCCGGGTATGAGTGAAGGCGCAGCCGGCCGGTGCATGCGCGAGGTAGAGTCCGACCGCCAATGCTGGTCTGCTTGTGTGGAGCTCGGAAGGTGACCATCTTCCGCTAACGACAATTCCAAGTTTGTCATGTCTCCTTCCTGATTTGGAGACGCGCCACCAATTGCTTGCCGGGTTGATTCCCTGCACTGCACCGGCAGCTTGAGATCCCACGACGCCGTCAGACCATCTCTTCCCGCTGTGTACAAGATTCCTCGCGGGTAAGGCCGCACAGGTCGGGTCCAAGTGGGCTTCCTCGCCCCTTCGGACGACTGCGTTTCATCACTATCATCCTCGCTCGACTCCCCATCATCCCCAACGCACGTCACCAAATCGAGCGCAAGTGATGTCACCGCAAGCGTATGCGTCGCATGACGGCTGCCACTATCTTTCGATGCGGCACCTGACGAAGAGTGAGCTTCTTTCCCGCCATAGATCTCTGTGGGGATCAAAAGTGGCCCACTTCGGTGTAGCCTTGACTCGACATCGACGAATGGTGGCACTTGAAAGCAGGGCAGCGCTTCGTCGTTCGAAGGAGGTGGTAGCGAGTACGAAACTCGCTGCAGGCCGCGTGCGTCGGCAATAACCATCTTGGCGGCTCTTGCTCGGTCGGCGAAGCTAGCAGCCTCGCGTCAGACCCTTCTTATTTACAAGGGAAGTGGCTTTCTCATCGGACGTATGGTCATGCATTACCATCGCGGTAACATCGATGGCGATCGCCGACCATGCGGATGTGCATTTATTTTGGTAAGTGTGAGGACGAACGGCACTTGCGGATGTGTTGCCCTGGGTATCAGATTCACAATGATTACGTAATGTCACGTGCCTTTGTAACACACCTGCACATTATCCTATGTCATTAAGGTAACCAACTCACTGGATTCCACCATCCAGCGCCCAGTTGTCTGCATCACTGTTCACCAAGCCTCCCGCTCCTGCTTTCCAGCCATTCCAAGTTTTTGGTTCTCAAAGGGGAGTCTGCCCGTTGCAGGCATCAAGCGCAATGGGGTCAAAAATTTGCAATGCTCTCCAGCGCAGACCCCATCTTCGCAACTTCCAAACTTGATTTCAGCTGCACCTCGACTCAGCCACCTGATAATAGCGCGATATGCTCCATAAATTGCTGAGGTTTTTTGGGTTCCAAAGCGCCGAGGACGAACAAACGCACAAGCAACCCTCATCGAATTTGAACGTCGCTTCTACGCGCTCATCGAGCAGACTGTTGAAGCGTGAGAGGCCGACGGGTAGGGCATGAAGAGACTTGGCTCTGCATGAGGCGCTTTCCCAGAGAGAAGCGCATTGCTCGAACTCTTTGTTGTTGTAGGTCTAAAATTTATATGTCCATCTACGAGCCGTGTTTTCGCGACGTCATACCGCTCGGTGGCGAAAATATTAGCTTTTTAACTCCTCTAGGTAGAGGACCCAGCAAACGGATCATGAGGAAATCACTCTCGACGTCCGTCCTCATCTCGCATTGATCAGACTTTTTACGTGTTGCTCGATGCTTAATGATGGTCCATTGACCCACTGAGCTGCAGAACACACGTGCTTTCCATGACTCGCATCTGTGTGAGCTATAATGTACTCCACGACCTTGATCGTGTACGCCATGAGGCTTCCGTTAAGGTACCCAGTAATCCTCCAACGGCAACTGGAGAGCCCGATTTGCAAATGGGCTACTCGAATGAACTAAATATAGCGTGACCCTTTTTGATCGTAGCTACCGTAGAAAGCAGCACGATAAGCATCAAAACAACATCAAGCACCTAGATGTAATCTGCATTGTGTTTTCAAGGGCCCAAAGCAATCCCCTGCCATATCCGAGAACCAATTAGCCTTGTCGCTTCGTCGCACGGTTCCGCGAAGGTTGCATGCTAGCGTTAGGGTATTTGGTACGATGTGTTCTGGTGTGGTAAAAGACAAGGCTGGACCGTATTAGACCTGCTAGAGAACAGAGAAGCGAGGGGACCTTGGCTAGACGGTTGGGAAGCCATGGAGATGTCGACGGCCGGTGTCTGAAGCCTTTCCGGAGGAAAAATGCGAGGAACGGTTGTACTAAAAGATGTAGGAGTCGGCAGGCGGGCATATCAAGCATGCAGCTGAGTTACGGGAGAACAGGTGGAGCGTAGCAAGGCGGAGGAATATTCAAGTACAGGCCGCAGCGAAGTGGTAGTCACGTATCTTTCGCTTTCTGCACATGGAATACTCGTTCGTTGTAGCCCCATACTAGTTCTCCACTATCTGTGATTGAAAGGCATACTCTCAATCCTGTTATTCGCGTTTGGCATTGCTTATTACCGGGCTGCCCACTCCATAACCCGCGTCAGACCTGATGGAAACCAACAGTTGGCTATTTCACGACAGCTAGCAAGCAACACGATGTGCATCTGCCCATCTCCCTCTATTCAAGGTGTGTTCCTTCGCCAATCCATTGGTCATCCGAGAAAGAACGTCTGTACAATATAAATAAAATGATCGCTGGCTGGGCGTCACTTTTGAGTATCAGCTCATCAGATAACTTCAGGTTCTCACGCCTCAAGACTCGCAGCATTTGCAGTGTGGTCCGTATTTAAACGCGAAAAGGAGTATGCCATGCAGTTTGTGCACGTGGACCATGGAGTAGACATAGACACATACTGGATAGCACAAGGGCCAAGTTATCGTTGGTATGGGTACATGGACATACCGATTTCTGTAATGAGAGATGGCTGGCTGATGGCACCATTCTCTGTTATGTACATACACTCTCTGGAGTTGTCTGGTCAACATTCTACATTGATGTTTTCACTATGTCACGCACGCACAAGAAGACCGAGATGAGATAGGTGACCCTGGATGTATTGAGTCAACTCCGCGTCAAAACATACGCCGCGGCGGGCATTGTGCCAGGTTCCGCACCTTACGGCAAAGTTCTGCACGATTTCGCTGATCATCCGGTCTACTTGATTTCAAAGGCCGACGGCTGCAGATATTTCGGGGCCTCGAATGACTTTCGGCCCGATCGACCCAGCGCACGGCGCCGAGACTTCGGGCGTTTTTGGCTGCAGATCATATCCCACTGCGGCGGACGGCATCGGGGCCGGCGGGAAAACGTGCCTAATATCAAACCACACTGCTGCAATGCCTGAGCCGGAAAAATCTAAGATGAGTCAGATCGGCCACTAGTAAGAGAAAAACCTCCCTTGATTTCATGGCGGACGGTCATGCCAAAGGAAGTCAGCAAGTCAACCCCCAAGCCCCCCACCATCAACACCATCATCTCGTATATATATAGGCTTTCGTCGCTTCTTGGGTCGGTCCTGGCTCACGCTTCTGGTTCCTTCACTGAGGACAGCGGTTAACTGACATCCATTGTACATCCATCTTTCATCCATCTTTCGTGTGCGACATCGTGGAACGTCCCTTCGGCTTCCGCACGACTTCCTCGCGGCCTCAACAAACACTCTGCGTACCTAGGTGCAGCCGAACGATCCGTCCCTTGAGGTGCCTAGCCCCCTCAACAATCCTCGCGAACCCCCCCCCCCTCCTTATCGTCCTATCTCCCTCGACCACACGATCGAACCTAAGGCCAAAGACCAGACGAAGATCGACACAGGACCCTCCATACTTTGCGACGCACCATCAGGATTAGGTAGAATGCCTGATTCACATCCCTCTCAAGGCTCCGAAGGTGCTGTCACTGTCGCAAACACCAGCGACGCCTCGAACACTTCGCAAAAAATCGGCGCGCCAATCTCAGCACCTGCTGCAAACCCTAAAGCACCGACTGCTGATGACGCGGAGGCGGCCGCACGATCATCTACTTCCCGAGTTGCCTCACCTTCGCGAAAGAGCGAGAATGGCAAGAAGGACCCGCACTGGCTGCAGGTTGAGAGCGAGCACAACATTCCCAAGAACAACTTCTACATTGTTCTCCCTGGCCTCATGCTTGCCGTCTTCCTTGCAGCGCTCGATCAGACCATCGTCTCGACCGCGCTGCCCACCATCGCTGGCGACCTACACGCAGGGCCATCAAGTTATTCGTTCGTCGGCACTGCTTATCTCTTGACAGCGACTGCCCTGATTCCGCTCTATGGCAGACTATCCGATCTAACCGGCCGCAAGCCACTTCTCTGGGTCGCTATTCTCTTCTTCCTCTTCGGCTCGGCGCTCTGCGGTGCTGCGAAGAACATGACCTGGCTCTGCATCGCTCGAGGTCTGCAGGGCGTCGGTGGAGGCGGAATAATTAGCATCGTGCAAATTATCATGAGCGACATCACTACATTGGAGCAGCGTGGCGCCATCAGCGGCGTCTTTGGCTTCGTCTGGGGCGTCGCCAGTGTCATTGGCCCGCTCGCCGGTGGTGCGTTGACCGACAGGGTCAGCTGGAGATGGTGCTTCTACATCAATCTCCCAACGGGAGGTGTTAGCTGTAAGCCTTTTGAAGCGTCTCTGGACGAGGTATATTCAAACTGACCCCATTATGTCAAAAACATTTGCAGTTTTGATTCTCCTCATTTTCCTGCAACTCAACCCACAGCCACGGGTATCTGCGCGTGAACTAGCAGCTCAATTCGACTTTTTAGGCCTTTTCCTCGTCGTTGCTGCCGCCGTCCTGGTGATTATCGGCTTCTCCAACGCAAGCACACACGGATGGGGCAACGCCGAGACCATTGCAACTATTGCCATCGGCGGCTTGCTCTTCGTCGTCTTTACCGTGTGGGAATTTTACACGACCAGGAGGCCAATCATCAGCCCTCGACTCTTCCGTACACGGACAACAGCCCTACTTCTTCTCTCTGTATTCCTTCACGCGGTGTCCTTCTTCAGCGTGACGTACTACCTTCCGGTAAGTCGAGGTGCCCATGGCTGGATTTGGTCGACGTTTTGAAAGCTGACTTGTCGATGGTTGCATTCTCAGATATTCTACCAAGCTGTCCATGGCTCCAATGCACTCGAGTCCGGTGTTCAGATGCTCCCTTTCAGCCTCATCTCCTCATTCATGTCCATGACTGCCGGAATCGCAATTTCCAAGCTCCACGCGTACCGGCCGGTACTTTGGTTTGGCTACAGCGTCATGCTGATTGGCTATGCGCTCATGTGCACGCTCGATGAGCGTTCCAGCGTCGCCATCCAAGAGGTCTATCCTGGTCTTGCGGGCTTGGGACTGGGATGCTTGTTCCAAACGCCGCTCATTGGCCTGCAGTCCGCCATGCCGCTCAGCGAAGTGGGCACGACAACCGCGGCCATGGCGCTCATCCGGTCCATGGGCGGCACGATCGGTATCACACTTAGCGGTACGGTACTCAACTCTGACTTTGCGTCGCGCTCCCGCGATATTCCAGGTTTGCTGCAAGCTGAAGCTGCTTATGGAGGCGCAACGGCCATCCAAGGCGACCCCAGATTCCTGCGCGACTTGCAGCCCCCAACCCTTGCGGCCGAAGCTGTGCGCGCGTACGCAAAGAGCGTGCAGCGCATCTGGATCGTCATGACGCCGCTTGTTGCGGTTGCGTTGATCGCGACGCTGGGAGTCAAGGGATACAGCCTAAAACGAAAGGTCACTCACGGGGGCAAGCCACAAGAAGGAAAAGAAAAGATAGCGGACGAAGAGGCGCAGAAGCCAGAGGACCCGGATTGCGAAGGAACAACAGCACTGACTGTGGCACCGTCATGCCCAAAGCAACCTGACCAAGACATCGAAAAGTGTGAAGCAACCGACAACGAGAATGGAGCCCAGCGAGAACAAACTCCGCTTGCAGATCCCTGAGAGGGCCCATAGTTGACACTGCAGAGCCTCCAGTGTCTGCCGATGAGTTGCCTGCGCTGCAAACAATGAGGCATCGACCCTACCTCTGGTATGCTCACACCCGCTTGCTCAAGGACTGCCTGATTTGTAACCTACATACCCAAAGCACGTACTGTTCCCCCCAATAGACAAGCAGACTTTTTCGAAAAGCGATACAGCTTAATGCTTCATCGCGGATGATCCATTACTCGGTCGTCAAGCCCAAAGAGACCTTGCAACTGTGAACGGAGGTATGCACAGAGTGTTGCAGCCATTTGAAGTCTTCGCGCTGCTCAAAGTCTTCGATCATTGTTCTGACCCTTTCGCGCACGAAGGCGTTTTCGGGGCGAAAGCGCGAGTCGCACACCGGCTCGCGCAGATTGACCTCCACCATGGCCCAGAATCCAGCCCATGCCCAGCCCATGTCTTTGGCTACGACCTCTTGCACTGTCTCTGTCCATTCTTGCTGCCACGTTCGCACCTGCGATCCTGTTCTTGTCGCGTGATCCTTGAGCAAAACGCGTACATCTTCAAGCCTCCTCTCAAAGTCGTCAACTTCGTCCTTCATCGCGTCGTACATGCCCGGTAAGTTGACAGAATTGCACCAGTTGTGGTTGAAGCTGATACATTCGGTCAGGTTGAGCACTTCATGGTACCAATTGCTTGGGACGAAAACCGTTTCGCCAGCTTCTTGCACAAATTCGATCATCTCTGAGCGTGCGCACGAGTATCGCGACCATCCCTTTTTTCCTGATGATAGCGGGCCCAACTCTCCCGCGGCTGCGAGCGCATCCATCGCGTCCACACTACCAGCAAGCTCTGAAACTCGTGAGTGGTGGAGAGCGTCGCTCAGCGATATTGGGTCCCGCAGTGCTGCAGAAGACGGCGGAAGGCGGCGAAGATAGGGCGCAGAAGCTGGCGGAAACATGCGCCAGCGCTTTCGACCAGTAATGTTGGTGCTCCAGGAGTAGGACATGTAGACGTCCGCGTGCAGCCGTGTGTGAGACCCTGCTTGCCCGGCATAGCAAAATCGAAAGTCATCGCGACGCTTCTTCTCTTCTCCTCCCAGACGGCTGCTCTGCAAAACGCCAATGTTTCCATTTATCATACTTGGGTGGTTCATCCAGTCGTCTTCGAATATGTATGGGACGGTGTAGAACTCTTCTGCGGAAGAGGGCCAACGATCTTGTGAGAGAGGTTGCGCCTGTGACTCTCCTAGCTGAAGGAACAGGTGCCAGTCTTTGATGTAATGGCGTCGTGATTCTTCAATTTGTTCCATGTTCTCAATGGCCTGCGACAAGGGGAGCTCTTTGTATTCCTCTTTTTTGGGGTCTTGATCTCTGGATTGAGAGAAGACAGAGACGTTTTGACTCCCGTACCTCGCCTGGAGTGCGCGGAACGCAGGGTGCAGGCCACTCTTAAAAGATTTGGCAGTGTCTTCATCCCATAGACGGAATATGCCCCATGATTTTACAAGTGACTTGGGCAAAAGGGCTGGGCGGTTCGGCAGCAAGCAGTCTCGCTACTTTGACGGTGTCAGCATCGTCCGACCGTGAGTGTGTTGAAATCACGTTTTCTTGGAACCTACCGAGAATTCTTCGTATGTCGGCTCACAATCGTAGCGTCTCAGGCAGAGCTCGGCCGTGCAATTAGGGAAGGCCATGATTGGCAAGGTGCCTTGTTGGACATCTGCATCGAGCCCTGCAAGAATATACTTGCAAGGGACAACAATGACTGTCTGCAAGTCATTGTTGTCTACAGCTCAAAGCCGAACAAATGAGAGCTTGCGATGAAGTGGACAGCGAATTGCGTATGTTAGTTGGCGCAGTGAATTGTTCACACAACCCTAACCTGCACAACACTCCCGGAATGCACGTTGCCCCACCTTTACTATGAACACTACCAACTCAAGACTTGCCTCACATCAATTGAAGCACAGGCAGGCTACATAACATTGGCGTTGCCAAAGTGTTGGGTCGTGACGGTAAGCTACATATCTGCTTCCAAGCGTTAAGCCGCCTTTCGCACGGTCGTATCACAAGTTCACTTCATGAAAAATTTACGAAATACATTAAATCAAGCCGAATGTGGGCTATACGACCCGCTATTGGCCGCTCCTTGCTCTTGGCGGCCATGTCCACGCACCTTACGATAGCACCAATTCACCTCTTCAAGGCCAAAGAATGATGTCTCCTCACAGACCGGAGATGTGAAGCCGGCCAGGACGAATTGATCTGTTCCCAGTCAAGTTTGAAAGGATTCTGATCTCCAAGAACCCACTCAGGGAGGGAAACTACGTCAAGAGCCTATGGTGCATTATCATCGGTGATGAGGTGCTGAACGGCAAGACAAAGGAAAGCAACTCCAACTTCTTTGCGAAGCTGTGCTTCAATTATGGTATAGAGCTGAAGAGGATTGAAGTCATTGCCGCTGACGAAGACCAAATCGTACAAGCCCCAAAACGAATGCCGGGTAATTACGATTTTGTCATTTTCTCCGGAGAGATTGGACCAACGCCTGATGATATTAAGGACATTGCCAGTCCTGCCTTTTCTCCAGTCATCTGATGCTCTTCGTTGATATGCTTTTCGCACTCTCAGTTACCAATCCTTGACCAAAGCTTTCAACGCAGAGCTTTTTTGAATACCATGAAGACTGCTGGTGCATAGAACGATGCCCGAGAGCAGCATCAGCCCGCTCCTCTTGAACTTGACAGCAAAATGCAAAGAGGAAGACATCAAGGTCGGCAGCTATCCGAAGGCACGTTCATGTATGTCTTCAAGGAGAAGCTATTCTCGCTATTTCCATTCACTTTCCGTTGCAATGAAATGATATTGTGGACATATGACTCATCGGGACAAATCGGGAGCGGCTGCAAGAGATTTCAAATGAGATGAAAGAGGAAGTAGAGGGCAAGGTAGTCGCACAAGGAACTTCCGGAGAGGCAGAGAAAGGCCAAGATGGCCAAGAATTGTTGTATCCATTCCATCTATACCGTCGCAAGCCACGATCAAACACGTCCTGCACTGCAATGTGGCAAGAAAATGTGTGCATGGTTTCTTACAACTCCCAGCGGCCGAACATACGACTAGTACGAGCATGAAGGAGAGGAAAGCAAGGTATTTAGCATCAGATGGAGAAACCTCGATTGGAATATGTCACTCACTCAAATATGGCCATGATGGTCCACTTGCGATTTTCTGCCTCGGGGAAGACCAAGCTGCGAGGACCGTAGAAGATCTCATCGTCGACCTCTTGCGACTTGCGTGGAAGACAGTGCATGAACTTCCAGTTCTCTTTTGCCCCACCTGCGCGTGCAAGCTGTTCTGTGACTTGGAAACCCTTGAAATCGCGCAGACGCTGCTCCTTAGACGCCTCATCACCCATCGAAATCCATGTGTCGGTCACGATGACATCGGCATCGTGCACGGCCTGCAGCGGATCGTGGCTCCAGTCGACCTGCCCCACTTTGACGCCGGCAGACTGCACCTGCCTGAGACCATCCTGCATGGTAGCCCAGACAACCTGGTCGCGAGCGTACATCGCGCCTTGTGGTTTGGGTGTTGCGACGGCGAGATTGATGCCAAGACGGGGCAACGCCACAAGCATGTCGTTAAGAATGTTGTTGCTGTCACCGACCCACGCAACCTTGAGGCCTGCAAGTGATTGCAGGGAAGTGCCTTGTGCGGCAGTGGATTGTGCAGAGAATGCGCCAGGAGAAGGGAAATGCTCGACGAGAGTGAGCAGATCCGCAAGAATTTGCGTCGGATGGTAGCGCGCGGAAAGTGCATTTACTACTGGAACGCTCGAGTTGGCCGCAAGGGTCTGCAATAAAAAAAATCAGGTCGATATCTATTGGACAGGATAGGATAGAATGGATGCAAGCTCACCTCAATCTCCTCATGAGTTCCCACCCGAGCCATGATCCCGTCGACCATAGAGCTGACGACTTTGGCGGTGTCGTATAAGCTCTCGTTGACACCTAGCTGAATGTCCTGCGGACTGAGGAAGATCGGGTGCCCCCCCAGGCTTGCAATGCTTGTCTCGCTGGCGACGCGAGTACGGGTGGAGCGCTTAGTGAACATGACTGCGATCTGTTTCCCCTCCAGTATTTGCGGTAAGGCTCCCGCTGCAGTTGATCGAGAGGAGGAAGCACTTGCATTTGAGCGAGCGGGAGCCTCGAGAGCGAGGGAAGTAGACTTGACTGCGGATTTGAACTGGGCCGAAGTGTCGATAAGGGACTGGATCTGCTCGACCGACAAGTCTGCTAGAGACAGTAGCGATGGCGGTTTGCGCTCGTTTGCGCTGGCGCGAGAAGTGGAGCTGAATTGCGCATTTTTAATCGCTACGGAAACTTTTGAGTAGGCTGAGTGCGACGGGGCCGGGCCCGCAACGGCCACCTTGCATAGGGTCGGATGCAAGACGGAAAGACGGGCGGCAGGCCGCATTGTCATCATCATGCCGCCAGCTACCAACATTTTCGACGGGATTTTGCCGTGTTAGGTACTAGCTTCGAGCCGTATTTGAGAATTCCAAGTTGCAACGTTCGGATCTGAACGAGTTGTCAGGACGGTGTACACTGGGGAAGAAACAGGCTTATATGCTGTACAGCTGGAATCAGGAAGGATGAACAGTGGTGAAGAAGACGTGAAGCATCTGGTTCAAAGTCGTTGCGTCGTACTTGGAAAGGTGGTCCAAACCCAGCTCGAACCGAAGCAACTTCCTTTATTGTTCGGAACATCAAACAAAAAAGTCCACCACAGCCGCCAGTGCCGCGAGTCGAGTCATCCGACGAGGAGGTTACAACCCTACTTCCACCCACCGTCCACTTCGCCAGGCCGAAGACGCCAACAGACACATTGCCAGACGCCGCCAGCCGCGCGCGCTTTTGATTTGATGGTGTCTCGCTAGCCGCTGCGATGGAAGCACAAGCCAAGCCCCTATGTAGCCCACTGCTCAGTGCATGGATTGCAGTGCTCGGATTTAAGCGGGCAGCATGGTCTGGGTGCGTGACCTGGGCATCCGTGTATTGCTGAGCGAACCCTGGATGCGCGACAAACACCGAGCACTTGCTGAGCAGAGAGCCGAGGGGGGAGGCTGAGGAAACCGATGTCTGAGGGATTGATTACGGGTTCCGCCCACTGACTATCAATGATGCGCGTCTCGGCCTGTGGCACGGGTGGTCGTGGGCCGGCGCTGGCCGGTGCACCCCATCGGAATGGGAACCAATCCTGTCTCGTTCCGCAACGATCAATCCACCAACACACACAACTCGCGACATATGCGCACGCCACTGGCTCATCCCAAAAATGTGGACTCAAGCGCCCGTCGTACTTTTAGTCCCGTACAAGCTCGAGGGAGCAAGAGACGCTGAGCGCACAGGCAGACGGTCGCTTTCGCCATTGACGACACGCGGAGAGCGGGACGGCGAAAACAGCACACGTGGCGGTGTTGTGTCCGATCCTCGCCGCATTGGTTCGGGCTCAAACCCACCACCTTTCCCTCGTATCTCGTCCAATCGAGGATGTCGGCGTTGTTCAAACGCACAGCACCCTCCTCCTCAATGAAAAAGCAGCAGTTTCTGTTGCCAGTCCCAGGAGATAGCGTCGACGAAGTGTTCGACGGAACTACGTCCTACAGCAGCGCAGCCTCGACCGCACGCACCAGCATCAGCTCGAGCGGCAGCGGCTTCTTGGATCCCTCGAGCGCATTCCCATCCATAGATAGCAGCAGGAGCGAAAAGGGTGGCAGCTCCAGTGGAAGCAGAAGCCCCAGAGCGTTCGCAAGTCGCATGCTCAGTAGGCAGTCCAGTCGACAGTCGGTCCGGGGCGCTGCGTCCGACCAAGCAAGCGCAGGCATGGCTGCTGGAGACGCCACACCCTGCACCAGCGCGAGTGGTGGCAATGGCGGGGATGAGAACGAGTACTTTTTAGGAACGTCGCTCAATTCTGCTTTGCAAAGCTTATCCGTGGATGCGCAGCTGAATAGCAGCAACGTCCGCTCGCCATTACGCAACTGCACCGATGCGCCTTCGTCCTCTTTGCCAGCACCTGCCTGTGCAAGCAAAGCGGCGCGTTCGCCAGGAAATGCGCTACCTTCAGGGTCTCAATGTGTCAGGCCTGGCTGGCGTGCGATGCCAGGTCACGTCGGCAATCTAACCGCAGCGCAAGAGAAGACGCTCGTGGCATTCGCGCAAACGTTGCAAGCCGCAGGACTGCTGCATCCTTTCCCCACTCCCGAGGACCCCATCGATCTGGCCGCCCTCTCTCAGCCATTACACAGCGCAACGCACGATCGAGGCACATCGAGCGACACTGCCACGGATACTGTGTCTCTCCAGCGCATCCACCTGCTGCGCTGGCTGCGAGCCCGCAACTGGGATCTCGACGCAGCCAAGGAAATGTATGCTAAGGCGCACAATTGGAAGTTCGACAAGGCTGGCCTCGACCTCGAGCGCAAGCTTGCGCAGGGATGGGTGTTCGAACAGGAAGAGGATGTCGCCGCGAACGGCTGGCGCATGTACTTCCACAAGACCGACAAGCTCGGCCGTCCGATCTTCATCCAGGACCTGAGCAACATCAACACGTCCACAATCTTCTCTATCGTGACGCCCGAACAGATTATCGAAAAGTTCGCCGTCACGCTCGAAGGCGCCATGCGCTATCGCTACTTTGAATGCAGCAAGGCAGCCGGGCGCGTCGTGGAGGACAACTTTATGATCCTCAACGTCGAAGGCTTGGGGTTGTCCACGTTCTGGACGATGAAGAACCAATTGCAGGAGCTCATCTCCATTCTCGACAACAATTTTCCCGAGCTGAGTGGGCGTGTGCAAATCATCAATGCCCCCTGGGTCTTCGCCACCATCTTTGGCTACATTAAGGGTTGGCTCCCGCCAGCCACGCGTGAAAAGGTCGACATCAAAGGTGCCGACTATCGCGAGACGCTCCTCGAGTTCATCCGCGAGGAGGACCTGCCGAAATCGATGTTCGGAAAATGCACCTGCGTCGGAGGTAATGACGCCAACGGTGATAGTGCCAGCAACTGCACCACCCCACCCAACTCGGCAGCCACCATGACCAGCGACAATGGCACCGGCACCGGCAGCTGCTTCCGGCGAGCAGTGTCGGCAGGAGCATTTGCGAGCCACCAGTGCGGGAGAGCGGATCCCGGTCCGTGGTCTAGCTCTTACACTGAATTCCTTCTGGGACGGCGGGCGTCCCAGCAAGCTGAAAAGCTGCAGCGGCAAGCCGGGTCGCAGGACGATGCAGGAAAGGCAGGTGAAGCAGAGCAGACAAGGACATCAGTACCAACTTTAGGAGCGACCCCGACGACGGAAAACAAGGAGACGGGCGCTGGGCGCGACGAGACAGAACTGAAAGCTGCAGTCGAAGTGAAAGTCGACGCTGTGCGCGCTTGAAAGTTTTACACCGTGCGACCTTTGCGATGCTTGAAACCACACAAAAGGTAGCTAGCTCATCATGGTATTTCCTCAAGGCCTCCGTCGTCTCAGCTTGGAACGACCTCCTCAGGTTCGACCGGCATAGCGCAGTGGACGACGGGGAACTTCTCCCAGAGGACGTCTCACGTTTCCGCAGCGCACCTGCCAAGTGGCATCAGTCGAAGAGCATTAGCCTTCCATCAAGAGGCTCTCTATGCCAGTGAAGCATCTACTGAGAACGCTGAAGCCATCAATTGGGCTGCTCAGTGGTGGCCACCCTGATGCAACCCGCCGAATGATATTCCCCTTGGGAAAGAATATGATCACTGTGCACCCTCAGCGATAGACGCGCTCACTGTAAATGCTTGTACGGATGTTACACGTACGTGCAATCATATCACTGTTGACGTGAGCTGCAGTGATACGTGACGATACGCTCCAAAGGCACGATGAAATGCGAGTAGCCTGCTATAGAAGCCTCGTCAACTCGAGCGCTGCTTGTCAAGGGAAACGCGCCATCATGGACCGCCGTTCCTTCTAAAACTATTAAGGGCTATTCCTCTTTCTGTTTGGAATTATCCCCAGTGACCGCCGCGGCTGCTGCGGGCGCATCCGGCTTATCTGCCGTCTTTGCCCCCGGTGCCACCCCATTTTTGGATCTGGCAAAGTCCCCTGCCATAACATCGCCTCGCGGGGTATTCGGCCGCGTCTGCGCAGGCGTCACTGCCGTGGTTGGAGCAGCTGGGGCCGTGAACAGTTTGCGAAGTACGCCAGCTGCCTCCCTGCCCAGTGCCCACCTAGACGTGCGCACTTCGCGGTATACAAGCTCTAGCATGCCATTCACGTTGCTTCGCACATCGATTTGCTGCAGCTCCTCCGGTGTGCGCGTGGCGAGACGCTCGAGGCAGGCGGCCGCTTCATCCTCGCGGAAGTTGACGATCAACGGCGCCTCACGCCTGCGCGACGACACCGAGGTAACCGCGGCTGATGCGGCGTCTGAAAGGCTTGGGGCTCGTGTTGGATTCTCGAAGCACATCCATGGCTTCGAAGACGAGTCGAGCGCGCGGTTTCGGTGACCTGTAAAGATCCCGTAAGCCCAAATCGTCAACGAGGAAAGCTGCAGAGAAGGGAAGGAGTGGAAATCAGCCGGCCGAACTCCTCGTCTTGCTGCGTCGGTTGACGCTCACATAGCACACCCAGTGCCCTGGAATGTCGTAATCTAGCCCTTGCTTTGTCAACCCCTTTCGGTGCAAGGGTCTGTTGGGCGATTCGGTCCCGTTGGCGTGCGGGGCTTTTGCCAAGCCGTCGCTCTCGTCGTAGTCGTCCTCGAATACTACTGTGGCAAAGGGCCCCGTACCAAGGAGGAAGCTACGGAGGAAGTTGACAGAGTACCACACGGCGATAGGGCTCATCGGACTCGCTGCCCACTCCTTCAGTGCCATTTTTGATGCGTAGTACGTGCCGCGATCGATGAACTTTCCCAGGACCGACGGCAGGCCAGCGAAGATCTGCAGGAGACGAAACAGGGGCAATTGGAAAAGGTCAGCGTATCGTACTGGCGCAACCGAGCACTGGCGAATGGCCGCACCTGCAAGTCGACACAATCACAATGGAGGACAATCTGCCCCAAGCAGACTAGGCTGGTGCTGGACTTATACATAGACCGGTTGCCCTTCATGAGTGACTCGAGCATCGTTTGGTCCATCCGGCTCTTCCACGAAGAGTACTACAGCGGCCGAGGGAATGGTCAGCGTCGGTACGCATGGGAGGCACCTACACACGGCAAAGCGAAGGCACGACAACGAGGAAGGAATGGGACGTACCGCGGCACTCAGGCGCTCGCGCCAATTGCTGACCCCCGCCTCCGTGTCGGCTCCCATGAGAACATTAACTTGCTTCCACTGGAGGTCAAACGCAATGCTGATGAGGCCGTGGAGGAGGATGTACTTGGAGAACGTGTCGAGTGCGGGGGGGATGCCGGCCGGGCTGAGGCTTGCCTTGACGGCCTGGATGAACGGCGTCGAGGGGCGGTAGTGGGAGCTGCGGCGGTACTTGAACCAGGCGTCTGGCGAGTCCTTGCGCCACTCGTCTTCATGGCAAGGAAGCAGGAGCTGCACCTGGAATGCGCTGAGCGCGGGGATGTGCCGGAAGAGCGCGGCGTGCGAGGAATCAAGCATGAATGCAAAGAAGGCAATGCGCCTCTTCTCTTCCTCACGCGCCCACGCACGCCACTGCTGGTCCGAGCCGTCTGGGCCTGGCAGGATCACAGCAACCGGGCTGAAGACGGCATTGCGGCGGGCAAGTGTGATTATAAAGTTGTGGAAGAGGTGGCCCATCTCGTGCTGCGCCCGGTTGCTCATCAGCTTTCCAAACAGCTCAGCTGACAATACCAAGACGAGGGAGGCACGCGCATTCATCATCAGGACGCCTCGCAAGATGATCTCACAGCGAACAAAGACAAGGAGTGACTCACTGAGGAGGAGCGCTTGGAGCATCGGCAAGGTGGCGCGCGCGGGGCGAAAGTCGTCCAGGCTGACGTAGGCACCCCAGAGCTTTTGTCCGATGCGGACCGCAAGCTCATGGGACGGCGTGTCGGCGTAGTGCATGCCGTTCACGATGATGGCACTCAGCAACATCGGATCGGCGGTGCTGGCGTTGAATGTGGGCTTGTGGATTAGGGGCCAGAGGACATGGATGTGCTTGAAGAAGAGGAAGATGTAGCACTGCAGCGCCGCGGGTGCGAACAGCGGCGACGTGTGCAGCTCATGGACCGACGTGAGGAAGCGCAACAGGCGGCTGTGCGTATCGGCATCGACGTTGTACGTCGCCTCGTCGGGGATCTCGGCCTGCAAGCTAGCAAAGAAGGCAAGCTCATCGAGCGAGTTCATCGGGTCCAGCTCGCGTAGCGACGCCAACGACTCTGCCACGCTGCCGACCCCTGTGCTATGGCTGTCACCGTCTGCAGCGGCGCGCACATGCGCATGCATCTGCGCACCAGACCCAACAGCCACCATCCCGCCGTTGACGCTATCCCCGTTCCCCTCCAGTGTACCACCGGGCAGAGAGTCTGCAGCGGTCGCAGGCCCGGTCCCGGCAGAGGGGGCTGTGGCGCCATCCGGGCCGAAGGCGAGGGGCGCGGGCGCGGGGCGGATGAGTAGCGTCCCGCCGAGGCTGGGCGTGCGCGCCTCGGGCGGAAAGGCCGGGCCGGGACCGATGCCGTCAGAGCTAACCGGAGAGAAGCCCGGGTGATGCATGTCGCCTGGGAACGAGTCATGTGTGCCGCTGGCGGCGAGCGCGTCGAGCGCCGCGGAGCCGAACTCGGCATGACTGTCGAGCGACGCAAACGCACCAGCACCCGCACTGGCTCCAGCGGAGGCGTTGAACGGGTCGAGGCCGTCAAAGAGCCAGCTGTAATCTGCCTCGTTGAACGAGAGCGGTGGCGCAAAGGGGAACGAGTCCTGGCCGCTGGTAGCGGCAGCGACACCAGCAAAACCGCCGCCGGGAGCAATGCCGCCGCCTATGAGCCCTGCTGGTGGGGAGGTTGCACCTGCACCTGCGCCTTCGAGCGCGCGTGAGGCGAGTTGCGGCGACACGGCCAAGCTGCTGCTGCTGCCAGAAGCGCCTGTAGCAAATGCGAACGTGCGCCTGCCGCTCGAGGGCAAAAGGACGTTGCTAGCGTGGCGGGAGAGCTGCTGCTGGCCATGGTGCTGCTGGTGCTGCCGATGCTGCTGGCGCTGCTGATGGTACTCACTGTAGTAAGGACCAGAAGGCGGAGGCGCGTAGCTTGCACTCTTCTTTCCCGCCGCACTCGGCGTGCCGCCGCCCCCGCCGTTTTCGAGGTCGTTCCGCGTGACCGTGCCGGAGCCGCCGGCTGAAGGAGTAGAATGCGTGTCGCTCCTCCGGCTGGCGCTCTTGCAGTCGGCAGGCGCGAGCAGTGCAAGTTTGGGCAATATCGCTCCTGCTCCCGTCGTCGGGCCTCGCTCTTCTTCTTCTGCCGTTGCCGGAGGCAGCGGCTGCAGTGACAGCGGTACAGGCTGCAAATAGTGATGCGCCGCGGGATGTACAGATGCTGACGACGCGGCCGGCGGCGGCGGGGGGGGGACATGCGAATGAGGGTGTACAGTTGCCTTATGCGCTGCGCCTGCAGCATGAGCAGGCTGCGGCGGCGGTGGCCAATACGGCTGCGCAGACGCGGCCCTCGCTGCAGCGGCTCCGTACGGCGCAGACGTCGAGGGGTGCTGGTAGGCGTGGGCGTGTGTGTGTGCAGAATGCGCATGCTGATGCGTATATGCGCTGTACATGGACGGTTGGTCGGTGCCACCGCCACTGCCGTTCATGCTGCTCGACGCGGAAGGCGGGTGGTACTGATGCTGATGCTGATGATGCTGATGGTGGTGGTGGTAATATGGAGGCGGTGCCTGTGGATACGGTTGCGCGTGGTCGGGCGAAGCGGTGCTCCACGCGGCGAAAGAGGAGGAATGGGGCGGCGCTGCGCCATGCTGAGACGCGCCGGCAGTCTCCTCCTCCTCCTCCACTTCCTCGTCATCTTCGCTGCTGCCGCCTTGCACGCTACCGCCGCTGCCACCGTCATCGTCGCTGCCGCTGCCGCTGCGCTGGTGATGCGCAGATGCGGTGTGGGCGTCGCCCTCGTCGACTTTGCGACGCTTGCGTTGACTCTGCCTGGGAGAGGAGGAGGCGGCAGCAGCAGGGGGCGCGTCCGACGCGACGCGGTTCATCCACCGCCCGAGGTTCTTTCCGCGGACAGCATGGCGCTCGAGATGGCGGATGAGCAGGTCCTGGCGGACAAAGCTGGGGGTTGAAAAAAAGAGATAGGGTTATTAGCCATCCCGCTGGGTTGCGCTAGGCTGGCGCGACTCACGTGCGGTCGCACTGCGTGCAGGCGAGGATGTTATCGCTGTCGTGGTTGAGCCGGTGGCGCTGCAGATGGTCCTGCCGCGAGTACGACTTGCCACAGCCGGGGTGCTCGCAGCGGAAGCGCTGCTGCTCTGTATTCTTCTTTTTCTTGCTCCCGCCTTCGCCGCTGCTGCTGCTGCTATCCTTGCGCGGCATCCCCGCCAGCTGGCGTCCCGCCGTGCCCGCGCCGGCGCCCCTGGCCCCGTGGAAATGTGGGCGGGGAGAGCGCGGATGCGTGGGTGGGTCAGCGTGGCATGGAGTAGATGCCACACCAAAGAGTGAAAGTTGCTGCAAGGAGGGTTGCGCGTCTGCGCTATAGCAGTAGTAGCAGTGGCCGCGTGGGGGGGGGAGCGTTGCGTTGCATTGGATTGTGAAATGGAAAAGAGGAGAGACTGAGACGATGGTTGGCCCTGGTTCCCCCACACACAGCTGCATGGCGCACCCACACCGCAGTCAGCCAGGCAGAGCGACAGAACGAGAGCGCCCAGCCCGCGTGGGGGGGAACAGGGGGTGTATGGAATTTCACACGTGACACGGCCACCCCACATGGACAGAGACTGACTTTGACTTTCACACTCTATTCTGGATGCGTCTGATGAATCATCATCTCATCTCGTTGCAAAGCTCCACCACGTGGTGTGAAAAGTGTCTGCTGCAAAAGCCCCCCTCTCCCAATTGAGGACAGTCTGCTCTCCGCGCATCGGCTTGGTCATCACTATGCAGATCAGCGCGCTCGTCCGTGTTACACAAACCCACACACGCACACCAGTCGTGCCTCTATTGCCTTTGGGGGAGATGCGGGCAGATGGGAATCAAGTACCCCTACCCATGCGGAGCGCGCGATGACTGTAATAACCCCGCCCACACCTGACAAAGAAAGCTGACTCCCTGCCAATAAAAAAGGCTGTGGCACAGAATATGTGTACATACGGCAGGCACATTGCAGTTCCCGCTCAGCCGAACGCCAGCGCGAACGCAATGTCGAAAAAGGTACCCCTATCCGCGTAGTCCATCTCCTACGTGCATCCACCAGCGGCGCGTCGTACAGCGTCTGGACGCCGCCCCCGTCAGTACTGCAACAAATGAGCCGCCCCCGCCGTCGCGCTCCGCCCGCGACAGCTTTCTCGTCGCCTCGCCGAGCTCGAGATCGTGATGCGTCGGCGTGTGCACGGGGGCTACGGGCATGGGCACGGGCACAATCAGTTCCAACACCAGCTTCTAGCCCCTGGCACCCGCAATTCGCGAGATGAAGCCCTGTCCATCCTTGCTCAAATGTTCATTTGCGACATGTAGATCGTCCCGTCCGAAGCGACCTCTACCCTGCAAGGGTCGTTCTGCTCCATCTCCGCAATCTCCATTTCGTGCTCGTCTTCCGCCCCGCGCTGCTGCTCACCGTCGTCCACCACATCTCGTGCTTCGGCACGTCCAAGTACAGCACCCGGTTGGTCCACCGCATAGAACGGGTTCTGCAGCGCTGCCTTCCTCCTTGCCTGGATACTTGTAGAAGCTCTCACCCGACCTCATACCCGCCTTGCCCTCCGTAATGCGTTTCGCCAGGTAGTCGACCACGACATCATGCTTGAAATTCGGCTTTTGGTGGTGTCTGTTCCGGGAATGTGTGCAGAGAGCATCAGTAAGGAGTTGAATGAGCTGGCGAGAGCATGCAAAAAGCTCGCATCTCCATGTCCAATATGATATCTGCAAGGCAAGCACGAAAACGCACACATAAGCATCGCACGCTTTGCACTTCACGTGATGCAGACCCGCTCGGCAACTCACCATGCCCAATAATGTTCAGCCGGGTAAAGATACGGGATCGTTGAGCGGCTCCTAGAATAGTAGGTGTTCACCAGCCGGTCGCGCTGCTTTGCCTTGCCCCAGATATCGCGACACGGGTAACTCCAGCTGTTCGTCACGAGAATCGCGTCCGAGAGAAGCAGCGCTTCGAGCTTTCTCCACATGTCCGTCTTAACATCGGGGAGCTCAGGGACTGGTCGGCAACGGAAGCATCATTTGTGGCGGCCGCTGCAAGACAGAAATGAGAAATGCACGGTTCTCTGGCACCATCCAAGCGTTTTTCACACCCTATTCGACCCCCGCGAGCGCTTTCAGCGTTTCCACCTTACTTAATCCAAGGATCAGGTCATCGGCGATGAATCACGGCAAGTCCCCGTTGACGTACGCTTGCGCTGCTTCAAGCACTTCCGGGGTGATGTCACTGGGATTTGCAGGGTAGACAACACCTTGCACAGCCTTCATCAAAAAAGACACTGACAAACGACAGTAGGAGCAGGAGCAGGCGCAGAGGTCAAATTCGAAGGCTGACTCGCACAATGTGCACCAGTCCACCTTACGCTAGCCACATCAGTTCCACCATCGTGCCGAGCTAGCCACCGCCGATGACTACGAACGACCGGCCGTCCCTATTTTGGAGCAACTTGAATGGTATGCAGAATGAAAGATTGTGCACTGGCGACTCGGCTGTGTGATGTCAAGGTGCACTCAAAGAGGGATGAAACGCGCTTGTGACGGGTCAGATAGATGCACAACATTGCACTGGATGGCAATTCAACCCGCGGAAACGCCTCGTCGGAGTGGGTGCGCAGTAGCAACGATTAGTTCTATTGGAACGCTACAGGGTGTAGGCTGCAGTAGATAACGATGTCTTCAAAGTATGAAAGCACCTGCTTTCCCTCTTAAGGATGAGTTCAAGGCCCTGAATTGAACCTCAAATGCCCGACGCATGTTAGCAGACCCTGAGACAGTGCAGGTGATTGTGGAATGGTGGCGTTACATAATTGGCGATTTAGCTAGCGACCGGGCGACCTGCAAGAGTCGCTTCCGGCGGAATCTTCCATGCTTGGGCGCAATGCTGACTGGCGCTAAAATTGGGCGCTCTGGCCCCGCCAGCCAGGCCGGGCGCACGACGGCGGGCGGGTGAACCGCGCCGTGCCAACTGAAGATGAGAACTCTGGTCTGATAATGTGCTGGAGACGCTCCGTGCGGTGGAGATCTCGGCTGAAGATGGCGTCCTCACCAGTGCATCCTTTGAGAGTAAATAGCACCGGATTCGCCTCTCAAAGGACCAGTGTCACGCATACCAACTTCGGAAAGCCCGCCCACAGAGAAGCATTCCTGCGTGAATTGGAATCGATTCGCCTGAAGCCGCTGTCGAGCTTCTCTGCCATGGAACCTGAACGGCAACTACAGAGTGGGGCTGACGGACCAGCTGGAAGCAAACACCCTCAGTGTCGCGATGATATGTGCGCGTTAACATCACACTTTGGCACAGCCACCTCGTTGGCTGCCGCACTCATTGACTAAGTTGTATGTCTGGTGCTTCCATTCAGCTCTTCTCGAACTCGAATTGCTTGGACCGGGCGCGCTGCTCAAATACAAGACATACATGGTGTACAGGATTGAGTTGGTTGCCTCGGGCATCCCTAGATTGTGGCCTTTGACGCTGCTCATGAAGAGGGTCACAAAGACAACCTGACACTGCTCAACAAGTCTGCCACCGAGTCTATTTTGCTCCTTCCCGACGCACTGCCGGTTGGTCTTTGTGAAATCGATGAGGTATTTGAAGTGCTCGGTGTAAATAGTGTCATCGTTTACCTCGGGACACCCACAGATCGGTTCGTCAAATGCAATATGTTTCGGATGTCTTGGCACAAGTCGGAAAAGAAGCCATGGCCGGAGCCATCGACGTGATCGCTTAAATAAAGCCTGCTGCCGACCGTAGCAACATGGACGACGCTCAAGCGCTTCTGAGAACGTATCTCAGCCCACCTTACGACATTCGAGCAGCCTGCATCCAGTCACCGTATATGCTCGATCCGAATCATCACGACGTGCTATTCGGTGGTGCCAGTTTGCTGGGACTCAGAATTGCATACTGGGTGCGCCAGCACGGTGCATGCAAGGTCGTGCTGACGTCTCTGACGCAGAGAAGTTCGAGCGAGCTGATCATGGGCGGTGAACGTGCCAGCAGATACGACCAGATCACAAAGCTGTGCTGCTGGGGCGACCAGTTTACGCGCGACTTGGAGGACACCGTGCATTGCGTACTCAGCGGGCGGCTCACGAGTTGAGAGCAGGTTCCGCCTTTCCCGTTCACCACAGTGGAGGCTGTCTTGCCGGACCCTACTCGTCTCTATCATGTCGTTTCGGCGCACCGTCGCAGCTGCGAGGCAGCGGAGGAAGCAGCCCGGAATGGTGGTGATGGCGCTGGCGTGCAGAGCTTGCATTCCGTCACCACGCGCTGGGTATGAAGCGATGCGAGTCTGTGCATGAATCCAGATGTACCCCTCCGGGACTACGTCCTCGACTTGCTCTCTACGCCCCGCCTTTCTTCGCAGCTCACCAAACTCTTTAGCATCAAGATCATAAAGAAGCTGCTGAATGATGCCACGCTCGGGCGACTCGGCGCTTTCGCAAATGCGGCTCGGGCGTATATGTAGCAAACTTCAGAGCACTTCTTTGGAGGTCCAGTCCATGCTTACAGAATTGTGCATAAAGTGTATTTCGAAACCAGTGTAGTATACACCAAACCCATCGCATCGCACCACTTCAGGGCCTGGGCGTCTGTGTCACCGTATTTCTGCTGAACGGCCGCGTTCACGGCGCTACAGGCGTTTGCCTCACTGCTGACCAGTGTTGTCTCCATAGCGACGTGAGTACAGGGCTCGGATCGAGTTGCAAGATTGTATTGAAGAGCTCCTTGCGGTTGCCATCCACCAAATTACATAAAGCGACTGCAGCCCCACTCGCCACGAGAACCCGTCCTTGCATCATCGCTTGCGCATTCGTCCACGTCCACGCATTGATCGTTGCTGTTGTTGCTGCGCTTGCGCTGGCACGTGCTGCGGCTGCCCCATCATGTTGACAGGCACAGTGCTTGGGCCCATCATCTGCGGCATCATGCCAGGGGCGATAACTCCAGGCCCTGCAGGCATGCCCGAAGTGCCGACAAACCCACCTGGCCCTGCTATAGATTGGGGCACCATCGCAGGCAGGTTAGCACCTCGTAAAGCATTGATAAGCTCGTCCGCTGGCATAATGGGGCCATCAAAGGCAGCCTTCATGGGGAGCATGCTGACAGGAGGAGGTTGATAAGGCGTCAGCCCAGTGAAAACTGTCATATCATCTTGGGATTACAGCAACACAGATACTTCAGCTCACCTCAAGAAGAATCTAATACCCGGCGGGACATCAGGACTTGTCTTTGTGCGCACTTCACCAGAGACGCCGTTCGCCTTGAGACGCTTCACAGGGCCTGTCAGCACCGCTCCCGGGCCTGGGGACGCCCCGCGGCCGCCGTTGTCCACGGTATCCCCAACGGTGCCACCAGGTATTCGCCGTTTCTTTCCCCCTGATGCAGCATCTTGTTCATCCGCTTGCAAATTGCTATCCGTGTTAGCTTGATCCTTGAGTTCAGCCACTTCGAAAACGGTCGATGTTGTTGTCGGGGAAGAGCTCTCCGTCGGAAATAAACCAAGGTCACGGATGCTGATAACCTCCAGGTCGCCGTAGCAGCTACGCTCGGTGAGCCGCTCGATTCTTGGTTCTGAGGGCCAAAAAGACCATGATCAGCAAAGCTGGTCGATAACCCAATTACGCCTTGAGCTTACTCTCTGGGAATATCTCCTGCAATCGATACTCCAAACGCGTGATAGCTGCCAGATCACCAAAGTTGTATTCGTATTCTGCCCACCTGTCCCACACAGGACGCGCTTTCTCCGGTGGCAGCGTAGTGATGACGCGCTCGAAAAGCGCACGCGCGTTGTTTTCATCGTTGATTCTCAGCAGAAAGTCGAGGTAGCGAACAATCAACATTTCGTTCGTGCCGAATGTCTTGACCGCCAGCTCGAACACATTGGTAGCAACGCGCGTGTCTTTCGAGCAGTGGTACTCGATCATGGCACTCGCTTCGTAGACCTGCCAGGTGCAATTTGAAGATTTGCGCGCTTTGCCAAAGCAAATTCGAGTAGGACGGATACCCTGAACATCATAGAGTGTCAGTGACAGCAAAATTCTTCAAGATATGAAACAATCTTACCTCTGTGCGTCGAAGGAACTGCATTTGCTTGATCCAGATCAGTGAAGCTTCTTCCTTCATCTTTTCAATATCCTCTGACACCTGGGCCTCGATCGCTTTCTTCTTTTCTTGCCGCCCCTCATCCTGCTTTCGGAGTAGCTCCTTTTCCTCTCCTTCGAGCTCTTCGCCCGCACCTTGAGCCACCTTGCGCGCCTTGACAGCGTTCTGCGCGGCTTCCGTTTCGGCATCGATGCCTGCAAGGAGGACATCGGCTTCCTTACGCCGTGTCTCAATACGCTGTTGAGCATGCTCGATGAGGTTGTCGAAGATGGGGCCGCAGGCGCTGGTCTGTTTGTTTCTTTCATGATGATCGATGAGAGCAAAGGAGAGAAGGAAGCTACCCGGGCAAGATTCCAATCCTTTTTCGAGCCATGCAGTAGCTTCGCTGGTCTGGCCGACGCTGTCATTCTGGACGTAAGCCACGTACCTGCGCCAAGGGTGACCGAGCAGACCTCGGTAAGTTAATCTAGTACAGGAGATGAAAGCGGCATGCAAAACCTCACCAAATTTCAGGACAGAACTGCATGTGCATAACAGCCTTGCGGCAAGCAGCGATCTGACGTGCCTGCAGAGCTGCCTTGTCTTCCAGCATGAGTGGATTCTTCTCCTCCCAGGCTAGATATCTCTTCCACCCGTCGACAGCAGCTCTCTCCCGTTGAATCTGCGCCCACGACGTGGAAGTCCGTCCTGGAGTGCCAGCATCGGACATTGAAACCCAAGCGGGAACACGGGGCAGAAGCGGCTTGGGGAGGCTATCTAAGATGGAGGCCATCTCGCGCTGCGCACCCCGTGCAGTCATGTACGCGGCCGATCGCTCGGCGAGGAATCGCTTTGCCTGCGTGCCAGCAGCAGACAGCGAGAAGTTGGAAAAGGCAGCAGAGCCGACGATGGGGTCATTCGGCGGCGTACGGCGCGAAGAATGGGGAAGGAGGCGACACGAGGGCAGCGGACCGGATGCACAGCATCGAATTCGCGTACAGTGATTGCATGCGTCCAGTCAGCCATGGGGAAGCAGAAGAACCACGCCGGCAGGTTTCCGGAGAAGGTTGAATAGTAGTATGCGCCCACTGTCAGTAAGGTCATCGCAAGTTACCCCAGGCAAGCACGTTGAGGATGCGCGAGCATATGCAGATGCACACAGTTGGAGGACTCGACTTACCGTTGTGCGATTCATGCTATTCTCGAATGCGTCGTACTCCCTCCACAGCCTCTCAATCTCGTTGGTCGGCTGTGTAACAGCCCTCTGGAACGCGTTCCGAATGGCATCCATCTTCTGCCCTTCCTCCCACTGTGCTTGGCTACCCGGCTGCGCCGCGACCCCGACGGCAGCGCCGGTTTTGCGCTCCTTGAGGAAAGCAATGAACTCTTGCCAGATTGGTCCAGCCTCTCGTTCGCCGCCGATGTTGTTGAGCGCGAACTCATACGCGTCTTGCACGACCTTTCGCGAGCGATCGTACTCCTCCCTCGCTGTGGGATTGAAAGGGGGAATGGGGTTGACGCGCCTTGTGTACGAAAGGTAGGAGCGCCACAAGTCCACCGAGACGGACGAGATGCCACGCAGGCAGCGCGCAAACAGCACCTCAACGCCTTTAAAGTCGGAGTGGGCTAGAAGGATGTCAATGTATGCGATCCATTGCTTTACCTGCGGGAGTGGGATGCATAAGCCCATTGGATCCTCAAGAGCGCTATTATTTCCACCCAAGAGAGCCACTCACCGCGTATGGAAAGACATGTAGCATGTCCTCGAAGGCTTGCTTCGACTCTTGCAAGACGTCATCTCCATCGGTGCCGCTGCCATCCTTCCCTTGCACGGCCTCAACGAGGTTCAGCCATGCCTCTCCATCGCGCCCATCCTTTTCGACGCGCGAGCGAAGAAGGGCTATTCGCTCCGCGAGCGACTGTACCGGTGCTGGCGCTGGCGTTGGCGTTGACATTGGGGTCAGTTGTGTGAGCGGAAACGCGGCAAATGAGGCCTTCTGAAGCGCCGGCGATGGCGTTGCCGTAGCTGATTGCTGGAATTTACCAAGCAATTGCGCAGATGCTACGGAAACAACAGATGAAGCGGATGCTTGAGGTGTCGGCACACCGGCCGGTATGCCTATCGGCTGCTGCTGCTGTTGCGTCTGGGCTTCCGGAATCTCGCTGCTACCGCTATCGCTCTTGCAAATGCCTTTGCCCTTCTTTCCTGCTTTCGGTGTATCGTCGATCGGCGGCAAGCCTTGCTCATCGTCATCCAAGAAGCGTACGCGTGGTTTCTGGTGCTTGTTCTTGGTAGTTGCAGAGGCCACCGCTTTCAGATTGGAAGGTTGGGATGCGGTGGAAGGAGTCCCAGCAGCTACTGCCTTTGCCGCTCTTGTTGCTGCTGATGGAGCATCTGCTCCTGCGCTCTCTGACGCTGAAGCGCCCGCTGCAGACCCTTCTAGCGGTTTATCGACTTGCAGAGGTGATGTCTGTGCGGTGTCCAAACTTTGCACGCGGTCGATCCCCTCGCCTTCATCCTCGTCCATGTCTGATCCCTCGGCATCTGCATCCCCATAATCATCATCGTCAGCTGCATCAGCAGCCGCGCTGGTGCCAGTAGCATCAGACGTGGCATTCAACCCTGATGCCAAGAGAGAAGCCATTTGATTCAGTTCATCGGTCACCAAGCCGCTTCCTACCATCGCAATCGGCGCAGACGCAGAGAGAGAGGTGACGCTTCCATCCAAGGTGTCGGCGATGCCAGCGTCTGCTGGCTGCGCATCACGGGCCAAAGCGGGATGCGGCACGTTGGATGCGGCAGCAATATCAGCAGAAACATTGACATCAGCGCCAGCGATGGCGGCAGAGCCATGAGCCGCTTGTTCCACTTGCGCTTCAACAACCGGTACCCCTACCGCTTTCGGTGTAGTATCTGATGGATGTTCATCCATGACGGTATGGAGGGCCAGCACTCGCAAAGAACACTTCACGCTCAATCTCGACTACACCTCCTTGTAGCCTCTTCCCGGCCTGTTTCTTTTGCGTGCGACTTGATTCTATGCAGAAGCCTTTGTGGCTGTCTTCTGTCGTTCTGCCACAGAAAATAAAGCCTCGTTGTTGCTACCAATGGGTGTTGGTATCCTTTCCTTTCTTCCTACTCTGACCAAAGTTAGAGAAACCGGAATGCGCTACCTTGTAAACTCACACATGTAACACGTGACCACATGCGATGGCCAGCCGGGGCGGAAGCAATTTTTTTTGTTTGCCAATCAAACGATTTTCTTTGGCGGAGCGACGGAGACAATTGAGCTGAAGGGCGGAGTGAACTTTGCTTGCTCGTTGCTTCTTTCTATACGGTACGACTCTCTGTGCGAGCTCACCGAACCGGTTCTCTTCTCTCCTTGCTCCTCCCTCTGCAAGGGGTACCATCTGTGGGAGTTATTGGTGTCGCAGTAGGGGCGCTGGTTCACGAAGCGACCGCCTTTTTCGCCCAACGAACCGTGTAGAGGATCCGCAGCGCTTCCCATATACGCCGCGCTTGCTCTCTCCGACACTGTGACAGACGTCCTCGAGACGCTTGACAACGATGTCGATAACTGCTAATGCTGCTTCGGCGGCCGCATCTGGAGAAGCAGCCGCTTCTAAGCTGCAATCGAACCCCAGCAAGATGCAGTCCGTCGCGCCTGAGCCGGCCCCGTGTCCGCCTGCGACTCTTCCTCCCCTTGCGCCTGGAGATGCAGCTCCAGATGCTGCAGCCAACATGGTCCTTGAACTTGCTGACGGCACAGCGTACAGGGGCATTAGTTTTGGTGCAGCGGGCAAAAGCATCAGCGGAGAATGTGTCTTTCAGACGGGTCAGTAGCTTTTCCTCTGTATCATCGGCCCTGTGCAGACAAATCCGGTTCTGACATACAACATTTTTGATTTTTTTAGGAATGGTTGGTTATGTCGAATCTCTTACTGACCCGTCGTATGAGGGTCAGATTCTCGTCTTGACCTTTCCTCTGGTCGGCAACTATGGCGTGCCTTCTCGGGAAGAGTCGCACGCGACGATCCAAAACCTGCTCGCTTCTCCGTTCGAGTCATCGCGTATCCACATTGCAGGCCTGGTCATCGCCTACTACTCCCACGACTTTAGCCACTGGCTGGCCAAGAGCTCTCTGGCAGACTGGCTGAAGGAGAACGGCGTGCCGGCCATCTACGGCGTGGACACCAGGGCGCTGACAAAGAGGATTCGCAGCCGAGGCAGCATGCTCGCCAAGCTGCTTGCGATGAGATCGGATAGCCTGACGACTGCAGGTGTTCCTGCCGGCCTCAGCAATGGCTCTGCGGCTGTTGTGTCCAGTGCTTTGAGCCGCCCGCCTACACCCCCAACCCTTGGTCTCTCGGGCACACCTAGCGGCCTTGCCGGCGATGCAGATGCTGCCTGGCGCCTTGCATACCAAGATATCGCCTTTGCCGATCCCAACAAGGAGAACCTTGTCGCGCGCGTGTCGACGCGTCAGCCGGTACTTTACACTCCTCGGAACACTTCGCCAGGAGGCTCGCTCGGCCAGGCAAAGGAGGCCCTGCTGCACCCCAGCGGCAGGCCCATTCGTATCTTAGCCCTCGACGTTGGTATGAAGTACAACCAGATCCGTTGCTTCACAAGCCGCGGTGTCGAGCTCAAGGTCGTCCCCTGGAACTACGACTTTCTTTCCATTAGCGAGGAGCCATTTGATGGCCTGTTCATCTCCAACGGTCCTGGTGATCCTACGAGCTGTGCGCCGACGATCGCGAACATTCAAAAATTGATCGCACGCAAGGACTCGGTCAAGGACACTGTGCCGATCTTTGGTATCTGCTTGGGCCACCAGCTCCTCGCGCTTGCCAGCGGCGCCGAGACGGAGAAGATGAAGTTCGGCAATCGCGGACACAACATCCCCTGTACCGATCGCCTCAGCGGGAGGTGCTACATCACCAGCCAGAACCACGGGTACGCCGTCAAAGCTACCACGCTCAAGCAGGGTTGGGAGGAGCTGTTCTACAATGCGAACGATGACAGCAACGAAGGCATTTACTGCAAGGATGCACCTTTCTTCAGCGTCCAGTTTCACCCTGAGTCTACTCCAGGGCCCAGGGATACCGAATTCCTATTCGATGTCTTCATCAGAAGCGTCGTCGACTGCGCAGCCGTCAAAGGGTCTCCTGCTGCAGCTGTGCTTCCGCCGGTTCAGTTCACCGGCGGTAAGGCTGCGGAGAACGCTTTGGCGTACCCACGTCAACAAGTACGCAAGGTGCTCGTCCTGGGCTCGGGCGGTCTCTCCATCGGCCAAGCCGGAGAGTTTGACTACTCTGGTTCACAAGCCATCAAGGCGCTCAAGGAAGAAGGTATCTACAGTGTCCTGATCAACCCCAACATTGCCACGATCCAGACGAGCGCAGGTCTTGCCGACAAGGTGTACTTCCTCCCTGTTACGCCCGAATTTGTCCTCAAGGTGGTCAAGCACGAGCGCCCGGACGGCATCTTTGTCACTTTCGGAGGCCAGACGGCACTGAATGTCGGCATCAAAATCAAGGAGGAGCTCAAGCAGCTCGGCGTCAAAGTCTTAGGCACGCCGATTGAGACCATTATCACGACCGAAGACCGTGATCTATTCGCGAAGGCTATGGGCGAGATCGGCGAGAAATGTGCTCCCTCCGCAAGCGCAACGACGTGGGAAGAAGCGCTGACTGCGTCGAAGTCCATCGGATTTCCTGTTATCGTGCGCGCCGCTTTTGCACTTGGCGGTCTCGGTTCTGGGTTCGCAAGCAATGAAGACGAGCTGCGCAAGCTGTGCACCGCGGCCTTTGCTAACAGCCCACAAGTGCTCGTCGAGAAGAGTATGAAGGGCTGGAAGGAGGTCGAATACGAGGTTGTTCGTGACGGACGCAACAACTGCATCACAGTGTGCAACATGGAGGTGAGCGCCGATCAGTTTTGGCTTTCAATCTTGTCATCTCGCGACTGACGCCAGTACTATCCTCTCCCATGCAGAACTTCGACCCGCTCGGTATTCACACCGGTGACTCGATCGTTATTGCCCCATCGCAAACGCTGAGCGATGAAGACTACAACATGCTGCGTACCACCGCCGTCAACGTGATCAGGCACCTGGGCGTTGTTGGCGAGTGCAACATTCAGTACGCACTAAACCCACACTCCAAGGAGTACTGCATCATCGAGGTCAATGCCCGTCTCTCTCGTTCGTCTGCCTTGGCCAGCAAGGCGACCGGGTACCCGCTTGCTTTCATTGCCGCTAAGCTCGGCCTTGGCATCCCGCTCAACGAGATTAGGAACAGCGTCACGCGCGAGACAAGCGCTTGCTTCGAGCCGAGCTTAGACTACGTCGTTTGCAAGTTCCCGCGCTGGGATTTACGCAAGTTCGTTAGGGTCTCCTCGAAACTAGGAAGCTCAATGAAGAGTGTCGGAGAGGTCATGAGTATTGGGCGGACATTCGAGGAGGCGATCCAGAAAGCTATCCGCCAAGTCGACTACCAGAACGATGGCTTTGGAGCGGTGAGCATTTGCAGACATCTTTTGCTTGAACTGGGCGCTGACAGTTATGGAACTCGCAGAACGACTTTGTGGACGACTCAGCGGTCGATGAAGAGCTCACCAACCCGACCGACAAGCGCATGTTCGCCATTGCAAATGCCCTGCGGCTTGGCTACTCGGTCGACAAGATCCACCAGATGACGTCTATCGACCGCTGGTTCCTGTCCAAACTGGAGAAAATCTTCGCAGCATCTGCGGCATTCTCGCGGTACCACGCGTCGCAGCTTCCACCAGACCTCCTTCGTTATGCCAAGCAGCTCGGGTATTCGGACAAACAGCTGGCCAAATGTATCGGCAGCACAGAGCTAGCTGTCCGTCGACTTCGCCAAGAGTACGCGATCATGCCCTTCGTCAAGCAGATCGACACCGTCGCAGCCGAGTTCCCTGCTTACACGAACTACCTGTACACGACGTACCACGCCACAGAGCATGACGTAAGCTTTGATGATAAGGGTGTCATCGTACTCGGCTCTGGTGTCTACCGCATTGGTTCCAGTGTGGAATTTGACTGGTGCGCCGTTAGGGCGATTCGCACCTTGCGTGACCGGGGCTTCAAGACGGTCATGATCAACTACAACCCGGAAACTGTCTCCACAGACTACGACGAAGCAGACAGGCTCTACTTCGAGAACATCTCTCTGGAGACTGTTCTTGACATCTATGACCTCGAACGTTCGTCAGGTGTGATTATTTCCATGGGTGGTCAAACTCCGAATAACATCGCCCTGCCTCTTCACCGTCAAAACGTCAAGATCTTGGGTACGTCGCCCGAGATGATCGACATGGCCGAGAACCGGTACAAATTCTCTCGTATGTTGGACAAGATCGGCGTCGACCAGCCCATGTGGAAGGAACTTACGTCGTTCGAGGAAGCCCAGGAAGCCTGTGCGCGCTTTGGCTATCCTGTCCTGGTCAGACCCTCATATGTCCTCAGTGGTGCCGCCATGAATGTCGTCTACTCTCCGGAGGACCTCAACAGCTACTTGTCGCAAGCAACAGCAGTCAATCGTGAGCATCCTGTCGTCATCACCAAGTACTTGGAAGGCGCCAAGGAGATTGAGATGGATGCGGTCGCCAAAGACGGCAAAATGATGATGCACTACATCTCAGAGCACGTCGAGAATGCTGGTGTCCACTCAGGTGATGCGACCCTGATTCTTCCGCCACAAGACCTGGATCCCGAGACAGTTAGGAGAATCGAGACGGCTACCGCCAAGATTGCAGCCTCACTTCACGTCACAGGCCCCTTCAACATCCAGTTCATTGCCAAGAACAACGAGATCAAGGTGATCGAATGCAATGTCCGAGCTGCACGGTCTTTCCCATTCGTAAGCAAGGTCACAGGTGTTGACGCCATTCAAATGGCTACGGACGTAATGCTTGATTTGCCTGTCGAAGCATATCCCAAGATCAACTTGCCAAAGAACTATGTCGGTGTCAAAGTCCCTCAATTCTCCTTCAGCCGTCTTGCTGGAGCAGACCCAATTCTTGGTGTGGAGATGGCGTCCACTGGAGAGGTTGCCTGTTTTGGACGGGATAAGTACGAGGCGTACTTGAAGGCGATGATTGCATCTGGAATCAAACTTCCGCAGAACAACGTCCTGCTCTCCATCGGCAGCTTCAGCGAAAAGCAGGAGCTGGTGTCCTCTGTGCGCACACTTCACGCATTGGGCTTCACCCTATACGGCTCGTCCGGCACAGCAGATTTCTACGGAGAACAAGGCATCCCTGTCAATTACCTCGAGGCCCTCCCGGAAGACGACGACGTGCAGAGCGCAGATAACTCCAAAGCGGCATACTCCCTGCTCAGCCATCTGTCTCAAGGCCTCAGCTCGCTGTTCATCTCTCTACCAAGCAAGAACAAGTACCGCAGGCCCCTGTCATTCACTTCAATGGGTTACCGGGCGCGGCGGTTGGCAATTGATCGATCAATCCCATTGATCACCAACGTCAAGAATGCCAAACTTTTCGTCGAGGCGCTCGCCAGGCACAGAAAGGCCGGCTCTGACTTCCTGATCTCGCCAGTCGACTTCAAAACGAGTCATCAAGTCCATTCATTCCCTGGCTTCATCAATGTGAACGCTTTCTTGCCATCAATTGCAGATCCCGCTTCGGGTGCACGTGAAGTTGCAGAGCTCACTAAAGCCTCTCTGGCAGCAGGCTTTACCGCAGTGCACCTCAGCCCTATCGGTATGAGGCAAGCTGTAGCGGACGAGCAGACGCTTTCCATCATCGAAGGCAAGGTCGTTGGCTCGGCTCACTGCGATGTTTCGCTTGCGCTCGCTGCGTCGAACAGCGTGACAACAGATGTCAGCGACTTTACTGAGCGAGCGAGGTCGCTCTTCATCTCGCCTGCGCTGGCCGGAAAGCTCCAGCCTGCTGCGGTTGCCGCTAACATGGCCGGCTGGCCTGAGCAAAGGCCACTTGTTACCGATGCACGCGGAAATGATCTCGCCTCCATCCTGCTGCTCGCTAGCCTACAATCACGCAGCATTCACGTCACGGAAGTTTCCAGTCGGGATGACATTGCATTGATCGTGCTCAGCAAGAACAAAGGTCTGAAGGTCACTTGCGACGTTGCCATCTATTCGCTGTTTTTCACCAACGAGACGTACCCCGCGGCCACCTGCCTGCCAAGTTCGGATGACCAACTCGCGTTGTGGGAGAATATGGATGAGATCGACATCTTGACGGTCGGTTCCGTGCCTTACAAGCTCGGAGTGCAGCTTGGGCAGCACGTCTCGGCGGCATCAGGTGTGGTCGAGTCTATGCTGCTGCTTCTCGACGCTGTTAATGAGAAGAAGTTCACTCTGGACGATATTACCGACAAGCTGTCCAAGAAGCCACGTGAAATTTTCGCGTTCCCAGAGCAGCTTGGGTCTGAGGTGCAGGTCGATGTCGATAGAGCGGCGCCGGTGGTGAAGAGAGAGGTATGGTCACCCTTGCAGGGTCGAGCTACCATTGGATCGATCTCTCGGGTTGTCGCAAAAGGTCGGCCCGTCTTTGTTGACGGAGAAGTGTTGTCGAATGGCACGCTTGGCAGCAATATTTCCAACAGCTTTGGAGCGATCCAGTCGGTCTCGAAAGCAAGCGCTCAGGCTCGGACAAAGTCGATCAGCGAGAGCTCGGTGAGATCCGGCCGGCGCCAATCGTTCAACCAGGATGGTGCGCGGGCCGGCCTGCTTGGCGAAGCGCCTTCCTCACCAAATGCAGACAACATGGGCCAGGTGCGGTCGCCGATTCTAGCTGGTCAGGACGGTCCCATGGTGCACATTCCCCGCACCAACCTAATGAGCGTTTTCCAGGAGGATGGGCCCATGCCGCTCGCGGCACCTGCTACTCTCGCATCTCCTTCGTTGCGGACGGCCATCTACCACCCAACGTTCAACCGACGGCACGTGCTGTCCGTCCGGCAGTTCAACCGCAACGACCTCCATGCACTGTTCTCGGTGGCTCAGGAGATGCGTCTGCAAGTGGAGAGACAAGGGACACTGGACATTCTCAAGGGCCGTGTGCTCTGCAATTTGTTCTACGAAGAATCGACACGGACGTCTTGCTCTTTCGAAGCTGCAATGGTCCGCTGCGGAGGCCAGGTGGTATCCGTCAAAGCTCAGAGCTCGTCCGTCGTCAAAGGCGAGTCGCTGGCGGACACAATTCGGACGCTGGGCTGTTACAACGACGCCATAGTCCTGAGGCATCCGGCTGTCGGTAGCGCGCAACAAGCTGCCAAGTTCTCACCGGTACCTGTCATTAACGCTGGAGATGGCATTGGAGAGCACCCAACCCAGGCGCTGCTGGACATCTTTACCATTCGCGAAGAACTAGGTACGGTTAGTGGGCTGACGGTGACGCTGCTAGGTGACCTTAAGAACGGACGGACCACACACTCGCTGGTCAAGCTGCTGTGCCTGTACGGCGTCACGCTCAACTATGTAAGCCCGGCGTCGTTGTGCATGCCGGACGATGTGAAGGCAGAGGTGGCGAAGCGCGGAATCGCGCAGTTCGAGACGTCCGACCTGGACACTGTCATCGCGCGGACGGACGTTCTTTACGTGACGCGCGTGCAGAAGGAGCGTTTCCCAACACCAGAAGCGTACGAGGCGGTGAAGAACGCGTATGTTGTCAACAACGACGTGCTCGCCAAGGCAAAGCAGGACATGATCGTCATGCACCCGCTGCCGAGGGTCAATGAGATCGATGCAGAAGTCGACTTTGACATCAAACGAGCCGCTTACTTCCGCCAAATGCGGTACGGTCTCTTTGTCAGGAGTGAGTGTACCTCCCGCTGTTTCCAGCAGGGCCAAGTACACTTTGCCTACCAGTGGACGCAACTTACCTCTTTTTTTCTTTTCTTTCGCCAGTGGCGCTGCTTGCCATGGTTCTTCACACAGGATAGACTCAACAAGCAGGCGCACGGGCGAGTCGGTGTGCTATCCATCCCCAAAAGCAAAAGCAACAACCTTTGTAATACAGCAAATTCTTCATTCGCTTAGTTCCACTATGGAGAAATTTGTTCGCGATGGCAGGAGTGTGAAATCTGATTCGAACTGGAGGCGGTGGTTGAGTTGCAGCGGTGGGCCGGTGGGCAACCCTATTATGCATGTCTATCGCCATCACGAAATCAAGGAGGGCAGTTTTCCAGGGATGTGCTTTCTGTCACACTCTTTCTCTGTCGCCGCTATTAGCATCAAGACTGTGCCACAAGGATCACTTGCAAAGCGAGCCGCTTCGGGTCAAGCGGTACTTCATCTTGCCTTCCTCTCTCGTTCCATCTCTTGTACGAGTATGAGGGGTGCGGAGCTGCCGACAGGAGCATCGTTGTCAGCCGCGGCTGCTCCTGCTGCCGCGCCAGTAGCGATCAGTTCTATTCCACTGCCTGTGTCAGGGCAACGCCAAGCCGCTCCAGCTGAAACAAGCAATGTAACCAGCGGTGTCCCTTCACTTGATGGTACAGAAGCTGCTCATGGAAGTGGCAGCACTGGCATCAGCGTGCTGTCTGGCCCCGCATCTTCAGCGCAGCCACTTCCACATAGCTCACCCTCTGGACCTCCGTCCCAAGATGCAGCTAGGGGTGAAGTCGGCAGTACCGCTGCTCCAGCTGCGAGCAGCAACAAGCTTAAAATTGTAGATGCCAACGAAGAGGATGGGGACCAATCCATGCCCAGCAATGACTTTTTCTCTGCTGCTGGTGACGAGGATGTCGGCATGGACACCATGCTGGCTAGAGGAGACGCTGGCAGTCCGGTAGGGGTAGCTTCTACCGAAGGTAACACCGGTATCGGCGCCAGCAGCGCAAAGAACATCTTGATGATGGCACATGGCAGGAACAAGGCGAAGGCGAAGGCCCCAGAAAGGCCCAAACCTGGGCCGAAGAGAAAGAAGACACCACTCAAGGTCGCCCTCGAGAAGCTCATCATTCAGGCTGGCAGGTGCGTTTGCTCCCCTTTCGCTGCATTTTGCTTGCATATATTTGACACATCTCAGTCCCCGTTCCTTATATGGGACATTGTTCCCTTTTCCAGGAAGGACCCCAACATGTACTTTGCCGAGCCGGTACCAATCGAAGAGGTTCCAGGATACGCCGAGGTGATCAAGCAGCCGATGGACTTTGGCACGATCCGCAGCCGCGTCGAATCCTCTTGCTACCTCGATGCTGAGTCCTTCATTGCCGACATGCAGCTCGTAACTTCCAACGCAATGGAGTTCAACCCGCCGGAATCGTCGTACTACCAGACTGCCGAGCGCATCCGCAACTGGTTCGAACGCGCGGCCGGGCGCGAGCTGTCCAGCGATGTCGTCATCACGCCGCGTGACGAGGAAGAGGTGCGCAAGGAGGCGCTGCGCAAGGAAGAGGAGGTGCAGCGCAACCTCGCCATGGGCCTGCGTGCCGATGGCCGGCCGAAGAAGCGGCAGTGGAAGAAGGACCAGCTGCCGGAAAACTACGTGCCTGCCGCGTTCAAGTATGGCGTAGGCACGGCGGCAGCAGCAGCAGGAGCAGGCGTCGGAGGAAGCACAGAGACAACGACCGCAACGGGCACACCCAAAGGCGGTCGCGCATCCACTGGGCCCAGGGCAACGCCGCGGGACGGCAGGAGCATCACCCCCGGCCGCAAGCGCGTGTCCGCCAGCCCGTTCCGGCTGGCCGGGGACGAGACGGGGGGCGCATCTCCATCAGCTGCGCCTGAAGGTTCCGACGAGGACGATGCTGCAGGAAATCGATCCATTGTAGACACACTACGCAGACGACTGGGAGGGACAGGCAGCGGCGGCGCTAGCAGCTCCTCAAAGCCATCCACACCACGCGGAAGTCTGTTACGCGGTCGACACAGCCAAGGCGGTCGACCGCGCGTGAATGCTGACATGCTCGCACAGAGCAACTCGACCGCCCTACCGCTTTCATATCTGCCCGACGGCTCGATTGATCCGTCTGACATCGAAGATGCCCCGACGTTGCTGCTGGGGATCAGCGGCGCCGCTGGCCAGACCGATTGCCTTTTTCTGCCCACTTTGGAGAGCACCTTGCCGCTCTCGTTTGACCATGCCGACAAGGCACAAAAGCGCAAACAAGTGACCGAGGCATTCGAGGCGGCGCTGCTCACCGAGCCGGGCCAACCGAGCGATACCTACAGTCACGACCTGTCCGCCCTGCCTCCGTTCTCACAACATCTTCCGTACAGCTTGCCAACGAAAGCCTCCGGACCTTGGACACCTAGCTTTGATCCAGAACAAGCAGGCATCCCGCTCTTCTGGCCGCTTAAAGCTATGTCCGTACCGGGAATCGCATCAGCAGCAGCGACAGCGACGACGCCGACCGCCTCGTCTGGCAAGGGTGCATCTGGCAGCAGAAAAGCAGCGGGTGCCTCCTCTACCTATTCGAAAGACTTTGACTGGACGTATGGCCACCTGCAGCCGCGAGTGCGCAAGTTACTCTCTGTCTCCGATCTAGGCACATTCAGTACGGTCGTTCCCGCGCGCGCGATCAGCGATGCCGGCCAGCTGAGCCAATACCACTACCTCAACGGCCCCGTCCTGCGCACGGCCCTGTCCGAGGAGATGGCCTCACTGCCTTCCATGGCGCTCAAGCTGCCAGACGTATCTATCGTTCCGCCAGACCTGACGCACCTCATCTGGACGAACATGTATCGTGAGTACAGACCGCAGATGGACGACGTGCTCAAGAGCGGCCTAAAAGAAAGCATGCTCCTTCGGAGCGCCGTCTTTGGCGATGCGCTGGGCGAGGCGTACGCGCGCAGCGTCGCAGATTTCGTCGCGGGAGCTTCCAAAGGCGTGGAGGAGCGCTACGGACCAGAAGCAGATATTGTATCGGAAGACGAGGATGAAATGCGGGGAGTGTCGGCCGTGGCATCTGAGTCGCAGGCGGCCGAGACCATTCTGAAAGCAGAACAAAGGTCATTGAAGCGCAACTTTGAGCCGTCTGCGAACTCTGCCTTAGCGCCAGACAGCCCAGCGCCAAAGAAGATCAAAGTTGAAGAGGATTGCAATACGCCTCTCTCTGCATCTGCGACCGCTTCACCATCACCTGCTCCTGCTCTTGCCTCTACCCCGCTCGACGTGACATTGACCGCAGATGGCGGCCACTCCATCCTCGACCGATCATTGCCCGACTGGGTGCGCGACTACGTCATTGACCCGTTGACGAACTATCAGCTGCCCATCCTGAACCAGGTCGCTGCCGGCTTCCAGCAGGCGCAGACTGCACAGGAATGGGCGGCGTGCCGCTCCAGCCTTGCGCGCGGCGATTCAGCTGCAGGCACGGATGCGGGGCACGAAGATGCGCCACCGTCCGCCGCGGAGCTGCAAGAGCTGCTCGAGACGGCGTTGCGAGGTGACAATGAGCAGGTAGCTGCTGGAGAGAATGGAGACAACGCGCACGAACGATCTGTCATCAGTCTGCGACTGGCTACTGTGCTCGCCGAGTCGCTCAACGACCCTTCGCCGCGCATGCGCCTCGCTGAGCTGCAGCGCATTCTGAGGTCACGTCTCGATCTTTCCGAGCTGATCGTGTCGCCACAGGATCTGCTTGACACGCCTGATGGCCCGAGTAGCGGCCAGGGCGATGTACTCGGTCAGAGCAACCTTGTGATCGACGAATCAAGCGGCGAGCGACTTCTCACGCTCAAAGGCGTCAAAGGCGCAGCGGCCAAAGAGCCTGAGAGACTTGATGCCGCACTGAGGCAGTATGCAAAGCTCATGGTCGACATCAGTAGACGCCAGCGCGAGCCGCAGCGGCGCACACTGATGGATGGGCTGCGCGTCGCACTACTCTTTTTCTGCATCAAGAACGTCCGGCCGCAAGATTTGTTGCCAATCCCAAAGCAATATGCCGGACTCGTTCAGGCTGTCAGGAACGAGCGACCGCTGTATCCCAAGTCGTCATCAGCGCAATCGCCAAAGAACGCCGCTCCGCTGTCGAAGCCGCTTCCGCCCACACAGGCGGCATGAGCCTGATGTGGCTGTACTCTATCAACTCCATACATAGATGGCTTTTGCGTAATTACAATCCCCAACAATATTGCCGCTTCTACCAGAGCTCCCTTTGGCATACCTTGAAATGTGGTATCCGGCAGAGCTACGTCGTCCGCTGGTAGAATTCGCCTGTCAACTTTCTTTGGGCCACGTCGAGCGTCTTGATGTCTCTGAGCGATTGGACCATAAGATTCGCCATGTAATTCTCGGGCACCAACGCATGTGGTTCGCGACAGTAACATTTTGCGATTGCAAGTCAAATGACTCAATCTCTTGTCAGAGTCGGGTCTTGGACTTGTCCGTCTGGGATTCTGGGCGCATTATAATCACATGTGGATTCCGGACGGTGCAAAGTATGCAACACCAAAAATACGCGACATGCCATTCGGGTTTGCCCACGAGATCAGGCCGGCCGCCTTCGGCTCACGGTTGAGGACCGCCGCGTTTGATATGGGCAGTGAATGGCGATAAAAGGTCAATGATCTCCAACGCTGCTGTAAGAGGCATCAATAGACCTTTCCCTCGCCAGCCCATGCAATTCCTGGAACAGCAGAGTGTTGACATCAGAGCTTAGTATGGCAAGAATAAGGCGAGAGTCCCGCTGATCCAGACTAATCTGCTTGACGCACTGATAGCCAGCCTATTAACACCGCGCATCCAGCGCTTCGTTACTGAGGACTTTCCTTCTGAGTCAAGATCAGTGACGCTTGTACCGTTTGTTCACTCCGAGGATTGAAGTCCTCTTGCCACATGTACTCGCTCGCAAAGCTGAAGGAGAAATACGGCACCAGTCATTGCCTTCCTTGTCTTTCTCACCTGCGCCTCGTCGTTTGGGCAAGTTGATCGATCCGTACACGATGCAGATATCCTTGCGTTACTTCCAGAGCGGAAGCGGTGATGCGACGACGCGCCACGGCCCAATCAGGCTTTTGTAAGAGAACGAGGTGGCGTGCAGAGGATGCGCCTGCGTTGTGGGCTTGAATTGCAGAAGATAGACATCCCCCAGACCGGGTATCAACCTTGCGCGGACAACCATATTTGGTTTGCTCTGATATGTCATGGTCCTGAATGACGAGCGCCTAAGAAATCAGTGGAGTGTCTCGAGAGTTGAGCATCAACTATGTCAAATCAATGGTGTTTCTTGGCCTCAGTTCGTCTTCGACCATGCAGCGTCGGCACATGCCTCAGCTTCGGACGGGCACGATAGCGGGCGAGTTAGCGATGAGAATAGATCTCCACGAAAGAGTGTGATTGGTAGTCATTAGGGATCAGGATGGAGCTTATATGACAGTATGGAGTTTGACAAAGTGCCAAGGGGTTGCATTCCGGTGCATAGCACGTCGTGGGAACAACCAAGGACTAGGTATCACTTCTCGCTAAGTGCCATTGACCGTTCCTTGACTTTCCACCCCTTCTAGACCTGGCCAACAACGTGTTGGTACCAGCATTACCAACGTTTCGGCATGAGGCTAGCTTACATTTGACCTTGACCCCGGCGCATCAATCGTCCGCCCCGTTTGGCGCTCAAGAAGCGCGATGTAATGCTCCCATTCTTTGGCCATCTGCAGAAGGGGCCACAAAGGTATGTTAGAAAAGAACGTCGCTCAAGGGTGAAACGCATTGCGCTAACCTCTTCCTGTCGTTCGACCATGCCGTCGATCCAGGTCTCTAAAGCATTCCGGAACTCTTCGACCCTCTCGATATCGAATGCCGCCATTTCTGTCTTGCATCGCCTCGAGATGTCATCAAACATTTTTTTGAGATGTAACGACTGGGACTCCTTATCAGCAATATCTTGCAGCATCGAATGCAACCGCTCAGGGTGGACCCTCCCGCCTTCCGACTTGAGCTTCTCGTACTTGCGTCGCAGCTTGTGTAAATCCTCCTCTGCCAGTTGCCACGCCAACCAGGCGTCCACGCGAGTCGCAAACGCCTTTCTTACGCTGCCAACGATGCGCTCGTACTCATAGATCACCGTGCCAATCTCGCGCATATCCGCGTCGGATTGCAGCTCTGCGAGCTCCTGGGCACGTCGCTGCACTTCACCAAGTCCTGCAAAGCAAGTACACATGGCACGAGAGAGCGAGCTGGTAGAAAGGACCATCATCATGCTGCTGAACTCGGAAGTCTGATGAGCAAAGTCTTTGCGCTGTTGAGCAAGAGTATTGATGGCTTTGACGATCTTTCTCAGCTGTGATTCAAGTGAGTCGAGGTACCCCTTTTGCCGCTCGAACCATTCGTCTGTCTCCACAAACTTGGGCCCGCCGATATTGCTGCTCCAGCCAAAGTAGGTTTTCTGCTCCGGCGTCGGCACCGGGCCTTTGCGCAGATCACGCATCTTGACGTCGTGTGCAAAGTTATCGCTCTCGAGGAAGAGCCTGAGGTCATCATCATGCTGGAGGACAGGGTGGTTGGAAATCTTGTTGATGCAAGTCTCGAGTCCATGACGTCTCGACTCGACGAGCTCAGGTGCAAAGCGACCGATTTTGACCTTCTCGGGCACCGGTGGAACAATCATGCCCGGGTTATTGTTTACCAATGCAGCATGCAGCCATCTGAAGTCGTTATATCGGCGCAGAACCGAGAACTGCAGAGCTCGGAAATTCGAGCAGTCGGTCTGCCGGTACAGAACATGTAAGAAGCCCAATCCTCTGATACCAACAATGGGATACCAAATGCATAGACTCACTTTCGTGCGCACAGTGTAGACCGTGTGCGCGGTGACCGGGTCACCGACCTTTTGCGGATCACCAACTTTGATTTCGAAAGTGAAGCGGCGCTGATGCGGCTCTGCAGGCAGGTCATCACGCATGTTGGCATCGGCAATGCGTTCATCCACAGCGTTGATGGTGCTGCGCACCATGATTTGGTCAGAGCCTGGACCTGGACCTGGACTTGGACCACTACCTGGGAAATCAGGCTCCCCTTGCTCCTGCGGCTGTTGATGTTGAGGTGGCACGTGGGCTTGCTTCGGCTGTTGCTCCTGTTGCTGCAGGACCAGAGCTGACACCGCAGTTGCACTTTGTACAGGCGCAGCGGCCCGCTGCTCGTCGATAAAGCGCGGCATCGTAGATTCCAGGCGTGGACTCGGTTCTCCATAGCCATCCGAGTCTGCGTCTTGCGCGGCCGTAGAGCCAGTTGAAATCAGTGAGTCGTCTCCCTTAAGCAAAGCCGTAGGTAAGGACCTCGCGTCTTCTCTAGATGCGACCGACCCGGACACTTGCCGAGTTACAGCTAAAGGCTCCCCCAGCGGCGTTATACTCGAATGGACTTTGCTTGAGGTTGTGCCGGCGCTGGCTCGACGCAGAATTGCCTCGCCTGCTTCTTGCAGGCTATTTGGCCGTAGTGGTGGCGCCATGCTAGGATCTGGACTGGAGGATGATGCTGGTGGTGTGGGACGAGCTCTGAGAGAAGAGAAAGATGGTCGAGGAGAGTTGGAAGCGGACGGCCCTTGGCCATCATTCTCATTCTGGTCCTCGTCCTTGCCTTCTGAGCTGCCTTGCATCTGCTCAAGAATCTCGTTTCCATCCGACTGCTCAATGCTTTTGGCAACCAGGTCCATTGGATCTTGCGCTCGCCTCTCGGAATGTGTAGAACATTTGAGTTTGCCTTCGGCCATATCATCAGCTTTGACAACCGTCTCCTGCTCGGCTGCCTGCTGCTCTGCATGAAGTAGGTCGAGCTCCTGCGCTTCCCGCTGCTTTCTCTCAGCTTTGTCCGTTTCTATTCTTTCTTTCTCCTTTCGCTCCTCTTCGATTTCGTTCGCCAGCCTCTCCGCTTCTTCCTTCTCTTTCGCCACCCTTGCACTTCGTTCCTCAGCCTCTGCTTCTTCTCTCTTACACTTCTCCTCTTCCTCGCGGCTTTTCCTCTCTTCCGCGTCCTGTTTCCGTTTCTCCTCTGCTGCTGCTACCTCCTTAACCCGACATTCCTCTGCCTCCGCGGCTGCTTTTCTCTCGGCTTCGAGACGTGTCGTCTCCGTCTGCAAAGAGGCTCCGAGTGCAAAGTTAGCTCAGGTATATGATTGATTTGCTGGTACGTGCAAAACGTGACATACCTCAGTTAGGTACCCTTTCCACCAGGACTCGAACGTCACGCAGTCAGTGCTGATACCGAGCTCGCGTGTCGAGCTGAGATCGAGTTTGCAATGGCGTGGCCGCATCGTCGCAGCGGTGAGGTCCACCTCGTACTCGGGGTCAAGGTACTCGGTTGTCGCGATCTGCTCGTCCAGGGTTCCTGGCTGCAGTTCAGGCTGGGACTCAATCAGGTCTGCTTGGACGCTGTTCCAGACACGCGCCAGGACGTTGCACATGTCGTACTTTGTCATAGCTTCCATGGCGCTAAAGTGAAGAGTCGGTGGTAAGGACGGCGGTGCCACACCACCTTCAGCGTACGCCAAGTTAACGAGATCACCAAGGGCTCGTGCCACATCCGAGACATTGGTTGGATAGCGAACGGCGTAGGCGTCCATCTTTTTGAGCGCGCTCGGCACTTGCGATGGTCGCTGAATGGTAGTGAGGAGGATGTTGACTGCAGACTCGTCAGGACTCTCTGCATAGCCATACCTGAACATCAAATTACAAAAACATTGAAGAGAATTGATTTATCAGCTTATGATAAACATGTACCATGCACCTGCAGCACTCACAGCACAGGAACGCGAAAATTGACGCTCCTGCCTTTGATACCGTGCTCGCTGACTGCCCGTTCTCCTCGTAGCTTGGACACCCCGTATGTGTTGAGCGGATTGGGATCATCATCCACCTTGTACGGCGGCTTGCTGCCATCGAAAACGTAGTCCGTGCTGATGTTGATCAATAAGGGTGCTGGCTGCCCGCCCTCTTTCTCCTGAAAGGCACACCATTGCGCGAGGTGAGTCGGCACGCCAACATTCAGCGCCTCACTTCCTTCAGGATCCTTTTCGACCACATCTGGTCTGCGCTCTGCTGCGCAATGAATGATGACGTGGGGCTTTATCGATGAAAGGAAAGAATAGACCTCGTCGGTAGACGTGAGGTTTAACTTAGTCAGGCCATCCCTGGCACGAGAGTAAGCCAACCCCTTGACTGCAGACATATTTTATCAGCCGAAGATACGACACTGAAACAACCAAGGGGGAGTAGGAAACAACGCACCGTCATAGCCTTCGGTCTTGCATCTTTCGAACACGGCACGCCCCAACAAACCTGAAGCGCCTGTGACGACGACCCTCGGCTTGCTCGACATGTTCACCTTTGCTTCGAGCGCCGCTTCGCCAGCGGCAAGCGGCCAAGAGAATATCTCCAGGAAATCAGTCAGCGATCGATTGGCTATTGCGGTTTGGCGTCGTCTTCCCTTGGTCATGCTAGTAACACTGAAGCATGCCGTGGCCAATGTACATAGGGCACTGGTATCCCATTGTCGCAAGGGTGTGGGCTCGCTGGCCAGCTTGATTATGTAATTTAAATGCCCTTGGAGCTCGTCAGTTTTTGGTCAATCGAGGATTGAGTCTCGAGAGTCTGGCCCCTTCATTAATCTCCAACGACAACGGCAGCTGCGCACCTCACAACTCCCACCAGTGACCTGTGAATACAATTTCTTTGCAACAGCCAGTGAGCGTTCTCATCGGCAGAAACACGAAACCCTGTTCTGATCGACGGAGACTGAGGTGAACGTGCTCCTACTGTGAGTAACTTTGATGGAGCAAAGGCGGAGAAAAGGGGGCTAAGCACTCTTAAGCACCGCTCATTCGCTCTGTTTGTTTCGACAGTCTTCTTATTCTCTTACTCTTACATCTCCTTGACTGAAACACGGGGAATGCGAGCCGAGATCGTCTCTCTAGCAATTTGAACCTCATATGCTTCTTCGCAAGTCTCTCATTGCATCTCTTCGACATCCGTGCACCCTTGCTTGGACCACGAACACGTCCCCTTTGATCCAATCGCATTCCTTGCTCAATCCAGTGCTGCACTCTTTCTCTGCACGTAATATGGCCTCCAACACCACTTCCGGCGCTACTTTGACGCCCGCAAGCAGCTTGAATATCCCAGCAGACAAGCGGCCAATCGTCATCTTTGGGCCATCTGGCGTCGGAAAGAGCACCCTGCTCAAAAAGCTATTTGCCGAGTTCCCAAACCATTTTGGGTTCAGCGTTAGCCGTAGGTATTACGGCTTGCAAAGTGTCAATTTTTTTTCCTTTCTCCATACTGAAGAGTTGTATCTGTGCTTCCTTGTTCTTGCTGCCAGACACGACCCGTGCGCCTCGACCAGGCGAGGAAGACGGTGTCGCTTATCATTTCGTAACGCCCTCGGCATTTGCTTCTCTGGTTGAAGCTGGTGCATTCCTCGAGCATGCATCCTTCGGCGGAAATTCCTACGGCACGACGATCCAAGCTGTCGCCGACGTCTCTACAGAGGGCGTGCGCGGCAAGTCGGGGGACACGCGCGCGCGGCGAGCCATCCTGGATATTGACGCACAGGGTGTACGCATCATCAAAGCCCAGCACATCGAAACACTCTCGCGCCCTCTTTTCATTTTTCTCTCGCCACCATCGTTCTCGGCGCTTAAGCAGCGGCTGGAAGGCCGAGGGACGGAGGCACCGGATTCAATACGCAAGCGACTCGGTATGGCGGGAAACGAGCTGGCGTATGCCCGAACACCAGGCGCTGCGGACGTCGTCATTGTCAATGATGACGTCGAGCGGGCTTATGGACTGCTCAGACTGGCATGCACCGGAAAGTTGAATCAAGGGGGAGATCAGCTCCCTGCGGAGGAAAAGGAGCTGGAAGAAGAAGCGCGTTTGGCAGTGCAAGTGCAGTGAATCCGTGTCCATGTACGAATACCGAAGTTGCTTCACACCATTTCTACATCCTTAACCATGCTCTCGTGGGGCCGTGGCTAGATGCCAGTCCATACAATGCAGAGCAATCGCATGTGGTTGAATTGCTTGAGCGCAAAACTTCATCATAATGTTCCCCAATCACCTTGCTGGGGCACAAATTTACTTTCCCTGGACATGCGCCATGGCTGTGTGTTCTTGACTTCAATTGCAGCAAATGGATACCACGGAGCGGAATATATAAAAAATAAGGATGGGTTAAGCAAGTAACAGAATTAGAAGCCTGCAGTTGGAAAAAGTAAGATGCTCGAACCCGGGTTTGAACCGAGGACCTTTCGTGCCACTTTGGGTGCTGACACAGCAACATAACTGTAAGACGAATGCGCTGACCACTGCGCTATCCGAGCGAAGCTTTCAATGTGACGTTGGATATATTGATTAAGTAATATCATTCCAAAACACAAGCAATCTAGAACCTTTCGACTTGTCTCTCCTTTCCCGTTCGCCCTTCAATCTGGCTCACTTTGTTATGATCAACGTCTAATTGGTGTGGAATCTTAGCTTCGATCTATTGACTGCGGAAGGTTAACCGGAAAAGCAAAGTTGTCTGCTACATGTGGGCTTGCGTGTCTCCGTACCAAAAGCCCTCTAAACAACTGTGAAATGGACTCGCATGTTACCAACCCTCGAGGGCCGCGTCAGGCGCACGCGAGTGCGCCTGCGCATGATGGTATTCAAGCCCTTGCGCAACACCAGCACCTGTGAGGGTGCCTTGGTAGCCGTTGCGACCGCTAGACTGCCGCGCGCAGAAGCTGGAGCTGTTGCAGCAGCAGCAGCAGCAGCAGTGGACGGTGGCCGCCCGATGCCAGCGACTTTGATACCCATTCCGTTCGCAGCTTGCTCTTTTTCCTCGTCCTCGTACAGAGTCCAGAATTGGTGCTTCCCACCACGGGCAAAGAGCTGGACTTGAGTTTCTCCCTTTGCCGCCTTCTCATCCAGTAGCGCATACCTCACGCTGCTGCCAGGCGTGCTGTACATTGCATCGAGCAGCCGAGCTTCCAATATACGACGAAGCCCGCGCGCCCCTGTGCCTTTCGAAGCCGCCTGCTTGGCAATGACACGCAAGGCAGGACTCGTAATCTTAAGCATAACTTCGCTCGCAGCGAAAAGAGCTTCATACTGCGCTACCAGCGCGTTCTTCGGCTCGACGAGCACGCGCATGAGGTCTTGCTCGGAGAGCTCAGCAAGCGATGCGACGATCGGTAGACGACCGACGAACTCCGGAATAAGACCGTACGTGTGCAGGTCTTGCGGTTCAAGTTCCGTTTCCGCCTGAATACCCTCTACAGTCTTGCTAATTGCATCCGCCTGGGACTGACTCTGCAGTCGCTGAATGCGCTGGAGCACGACCTTGTCGAGACCGACGAATGCGCCAGAGAGGACGAAGAGGATACCGCTCGTGTCGAGATGGTACGTCGATTGTCCACCGCTTGATGACGAGCCGGCTGCTGAGCCGCTCGCGCCACGGCGCCTGGGCAGCGGCTCAAGGGTAGCTTCGCCGGATAAGCGCTGGTGAGGCGGCCACCAAGGACCAGCAGCTGTGCTGTAGGCCGAAGAGGCGTCTGAAGAGGACGCAGCGGCAGGCTTGGCGCCAGACTTGTCCGTGACAGTGATCGTGGTCCCTTCCAAGATGCGGAGGAGGGCTTGCTGCACACCTTCGCCGCTGACATCTTTGGAAGCAGAATCGCCCTGTCGTCGAGCCAATTTATCCTGTCGCATGCCCAAATGTTCAGGCAACATTCTCACATGAAATCGACAATCAATGCACAGCTCACAATCTCATCAATGCAAACAATGCCCTGCTCTGCCCGCCCTTGATCCCACCCGGCAGCAGCAAGCAGCCGATGCCCAATCACTTCTACATCTTCGCCCACATAGCCGGCCTGCGTCAGCGGTGTAGCATCGATGTGCACATATGGCACTTGGAGTGCCTCGGCCAGGCTTTTCATGAGTAGTGTCTTTCCGCTACCGGTGGGACCGATCAGCAGGATGTTCGACTTTTCGAAAAGGCGCGGCGGTGGACCGGATTCAAGCGGCATCCCAGGAGCGGCAGAGGCCACCTGTCCTTCTGTATCCCCGTAAAGACTTTCCTCGTCTTTTCGCTTCGCCTTGCTTTTGTTAGAAGTGGATCCCTTTGGTGAAGATAGCGAAAGCGGAGGTGGAGGTGGAGGCCGATGTGCGGAAAAATAATCGAACGAAGTCGTTGACGGGGTCTCTGTGACCAAAGGAAACTCATTCACATCACGCCTCACACCGCTTGTCTGGCCAATGTAGTCAGTGAGCATGTCCTGATGCACCCTGGCTTCCGCCGCTGCGAGCTCTGTCGGTTCGTTGGCGCTTGCTTTGAAGGAAGCTCGGGTCGAAGACAACGCGCGTGAAGATACGCTCGCCGTTGGCTTCTTAGTCCGTGACGTGCTGCTCTTTGTGGTGGAACTTCTGACGATTTCCTCGCCTTCAAGAGCAGACGAAGACTGGCGTGCTAACCGCTTCTCTGAAGCGGCGACTGCAACCTGAGCCTTGCGCCGCTCAAGCTCGACCCATTTTGCTTCTTCCTCGCGACACTTGGCCTGATAGCTTTCCATAAGCTCTTTCTCGTACTGCTGATCCTCCCAGCGCTCTCGCTCTAACTTCCTCCTGGCCCGGATATAGTGGTTGTACACGGCAACGCTGAGGATCTTCTTGGCGCGAGTTTGCCCTACGACATAACTATCCAGGTGAGAGACGAGTGTGCGAGGGTTGAGCAATTTGGACCACGATTCAGACGCCACATTGGCGCATGATGCGCGAGCGATAAAAGGTTCAGCATTGGGGGGGACCGGGGGATTGCCGCTTCCGCCGGCATGTGCGGGCTGTGGCCGAGATCCAGAGGAGGATCCAGCGCTGGAGGCCACAGGCTGAGATGATGCCTGTATCTCTGGTTCTGTGCGAGAACCTTGCACCTTCCTTTTCTCGGAACGCAAAGCATGGCCAACTCCCGCGCGTGTGCTTCCTTGACTGTCCGGCGTTGTGGTCGCATCATTGCTCTTGACCGCGGACGAAGGTGACGCTCTCGCCGCGGCGACTTTTGATGCGGAGCTGCATGAAGCCCGGCCGCCTTGCGATTGAGGCTGATACTGATGAGACTGTCTCAAAGCATTAGCGCGGCACCTGCAAGACGCTGAAATACTTCTAGAGCTCAACTCTGTGGTAATGTCAATTGCTGCCGCCCATCGAACAGAATCCCAGTCTCGTGGTGATCTGGAGCTGAGAACGTGCGTTCTCCCAGGTAGGATCACTGCCAGCGCGGCGACTCGCGCAGGATGGCGCAGCGAGCTTGCCGACACTTTTCTTGCGCTCATCTTGACGCCAGGAAAGCTCTAAAGGACTGTAGGCTGTTTCCGTGGAGGGGCGATGTGCTGGTAGTACATAAGCAGACAAATAGGTCGAGAAGACCGACCTTCAATCGACTCAAGCAACAACATAACGCTGTGGGGGCCATGACCTGGTGAGCCTGAGCCGCGATGCTGTTCTCATGATGTCCGCAAGTGTGCAATCGACCCGCGCGCGAAATCTCTCAACCAGTGATGGGTCTGTGCGCGATGAGGCCAGGTTACATATTATTACTCTTTCCTAGTAGGCAATCCGTAATTCCTCTTGCCTTTGCACCTCCATCTCTTCCTCCAACCTCCTGCACCGACAGCAGAGCGAAGAAGGGCAAGGCTGTGAGCTCGCAGATGCGATAGCGAATAATAGCACGCGACAACGATGGTACGTGCTGCGCCACCCTTTCTTCGCCTTGCAGTAGAGTACAAGACGTGCTCTCAAGCTTAAGCTAACCCTCTCCTCTCCACATCTTGACCAGTCCGCTCTTTTCAACTTCCAGTCACTCTTATTGGTGATACTTCTGAGCATATGTACATGCACGTATATCAGAGCGACGGCCCCCGGGCTAGTAGATCGGAATAAGCAGGGATTCCTGGGCCTCTTCTTCAAAGGCGCACGGATAGGTGAGTCGTCTGCATAAGGTTCCTTATGGCCTGGTGTGGACTGCCTGCCGGTCCTCATCCGAATCACTCATCCCTGGCGCCGACCTGCACCCCCCCTCCGCACAGGCGAGCGACTGTCACCGTATGCGTCCCTAGCCTGTATCGTCATGGCCTGCTATCTGATTTTCTGAGCGTCTAAAAGGCAAACATTAGGCGCTACGCAATGTTTCGTTTCCGATTAAAGCAGTGCATTACAGGTTGCAAAGGATGAATCAATTTCTATGTATCTGGGTGTGCACGTCGCCGATGGATACGAGAGGAGCGGTACGACGTCGCGCGTACCAATTCTCTTAGGAGATTTTATGACAATGCAGCAGCCCGGGCGGAGAGCTGCCTCACCTCTGCACCGCCGAGGAAGGTGCCGTTTGCGAAGCGCTGCGCGCCTTGCGCGGTTGAGCCGGCGGGTGCCGCGTAGGTGATATTATGTCCAACGCTGGTGAGATACGCGGCAGTCGCGTTGCTGAAGCCCGTCCAGCCGGGAATCTCCGGATTGCTGGCGGCCCATTCGAGCACGGTGGTCTGTGGCTGGAGCTGATCGTGCCAGCGCGGCATGGCGAGACTCTGCTGGATGTCGATCTGCCCATCGGTCGAAAGCAGGTTGAAAGCGTTGATGATGTTCGCCGTGACGATGCGCGAGCCGCCAGCGGAGCCGATGGAGAAGACGATCTCGCCTGTCTCTGCGTCCTCTGCAATCACGGGCGAGATGGACGAGAGGGGCCGCTTGCCTGGCCGGATAAAGTTGGCTTCCGTCGCGACGTAGCCGAACGAATTGACCGAGCCGGGCGAGCTAAAGTCGTCCATCTCGTTATTGAGGATGATGCCGTCCGGAGTGACGAGCAGCGCGCCGAAGACCGTGTTAATCGTCGTGGTCAGGGTGACTGAGTTGCCCTCGGCATCGATGACAGAAAGCTGCGATGTCCCCGAATCGGTGAGGATTTCGTGGTTGGCTGGATTGTATGCACTCAGCGGCAAGACCCCCGTGTCGTTGATCAGCGTGCGCTTTTTGGCCGCTTCTGCATCGCTAATGTACCGATGCTGGAGCGCATTCACATTTGAAACGAACTCCGGGTCGCCGAGGTTAGCGCGTTCGCCGTATGCAAACTTGGTTGCCTCGATCAAGCGGTGCAGTGTCAGGTTTGCGTTGGATGTGTCGTTGTACTGGTCGATTGTCTTGAGTGCGCTGAGGACGACATTGCCGCAGCTCGGCGCGACGGTGCTGAACACGTTGTACTTTTTACCTTCGGGCGTGGCTCGGGAGGTGTAGGTGATGTTGTTTGGGGTGCGCAGCAGGGCGGTGTAGTTGGCAAGGTCACCAAGCGTCATGATGCCGCCGGAGGCTTGAATGGTCGCAATCGTGTTCGTAGCAATGGCACCCTTGTAGAACGCATCTGGACCTTCCCGCGCAATCTTCTTGAGTGTCCGCGCGTACCTAGGCTTGCGGATAATTTCGTTGAATCCGACAGCGGTGCCGTTGGGGCAGTACACTTCGCGAGCGTACAGGTCCTTGCAGGCGAAGTTCGTCTTGTACGCGGCAATCGCTACGGCCATTTGGCTGGATACGCGGAAGCCGCCCTCGGCAATGGCGATCGCAGGCGCAAACAAGTCGGCCCAGGGGAGCTTGCCATGGCGTGCATGGAGCATCTCCCAGCCGCGCAGCTCTCCGGGGATGCCGACGGCCAGACCACCGATCTGTGATGCCATGCGATTCGAGTTGTTCGAGAACATCGTCTCGTTGCCCAACGCCGGCATCGTCTCACGGAAATCGATCATCTCATACTTTGCGTTCTTTCTTTTAGAGGAAGAAGTCGAGTTAGAGACGGAACGGACAAGCGCAAACCCGCCGCCGCCAATGTTGCTGTGAAAAGTGGAAGTTGTTCCGACACAAAGCGCTGCTCCGATGATCTAAATGCGAGCAAGATGACCATAGCTATCGTCAGCATTCTACTTGATCGAAGCTCTCAACAATTCTCTTTGTAGAGAGGACTAACAGCATCGGCAGCGGAGCCGCCTGCAGCAAGCAGATCGGCGCCTACGTTGGAGCAGAGGTCGACTTCAGTTGCGACGACGCCCTTGGTCCCACTCGGGCCGTGCTCATTGTCGAAGCCTTGTGATGGTGCCTTGATGGCGGGCAGGAAGGTGTTGTTCAAACTGGAGTACGTACCCGTCGTCGAGCTGTTGGCGTCGAATGTGGAGACGACATGGGGGAGCGATGCAAGAGGGTCGAATGTGGACGTTGACACTGCAGCCGAGGCAGAGGCGGGAGTCGTAGCATTGAGCGCGACGGAACCAGTGGCATTGCCAGCAGCCTGGCGCAGGCTGAGCAAGTAGGGTGCGCTGGTGTCAAGGGGAGTTGCATGGGCGGCAGTTGCTGCCAGGAGCAGGGCTGAAGAGAGGAAGTAGCGCATGATGGATACGATGTGACAGTTCACGGTCAGGCCAGATGAAGGCGGTCGGAACTCGGGAACACGGTAGATCGCTGATACCGAGGCGCCTTCTGCGGGAGGGAGAGGAAGCAAGGAAGACAGGAGGCGTTGAAGGGAAGGTCGAAGGACGGGGTTTTGCGATCGGACCGAGGTGATAGGGGCGATGCGCTCTTCTATGGGCTAAGAAGATGTGCTAAAGCCTATTATGGGATGGTGGTTGCCCATATATATATATATATATATGCTCGAATTATAGAAAAGGTACTAGCACAAGCGTAACAAAACTCCCACTATGCAGAGGCGGAAGTATGTTTCAGGAGTGTGCTACATTTGAGTGTTCCTGAGCTCTGCACTCTCGAGCCGCATCCGGGGATTTGATTAGAATTTCGTTTGTGGGTGGAACTGGCTCGGATGACCCGATCCACACATTGTGACATCCATCACCAATGGCCGGGTGGTGACACCCTTTCCGCAATTGCTTCACACACAGGCGGAGAGAAAAAAAACCATCGATTCAGCTGGCTTGATGCTAGATGACTACTGGACGCACTTGTGGATATGTACGGGTATGGCCAACAAATATGGACAATGATATAGCCAGTGTAGGCCAGCATAAGCGAGCGCAATTCGCCAGACTTCGGCTATTCGGCTTCTCAAGAGCACTTTCAATCTCATTGATATGATAATCTGATGAGCGATGGCAATATTAAACCTGGGCAGTTCCTCTCGTGCTTAACAGTCCGGTTCCTGCCCAGTCTCCTGCAAGTCTGGCTATGGCGTGATCATATCTGCTTTAGCTTTGACTGTTCCCGCTTCGGCTGCAATCCAACTGCTAAATTGTGAGAGAATTTGTGAATATTGACATATTGAATGAAAATGGAAGCGATTGGCTTTTCTTAGTTGTTCCTGGCCGACAAGCTGCCTACGGAGGCACCGAGAGTTCGCCGAGGGCGAAGCAAAAGTCGTCGCAAAATCATTCCCTTGTTAGGGTTGCTACCGCTATCCGTAGCTCGTGCGACGCACCGTCTCGCCTGGGAAGTGAACTTTCATTGCTTGGCTACGTTATCAAGAGGCGGTTCCATTCGCCGCAAGGTCTCTTCCTGTAACCAACATTGAAGAAAACCACTTTGTGACGTTGCAGCAAGTGACCCTCCCTCCCCAAAGAAGATGCAGTTAAAGACTTTCACCAGGTACATCTGAATACTTCGAATTCTCATCGTGCCCACCTTGCCTTTGGGCAAGTCCGCAAGCAGGCTCCACCGGTGCAGCCGGTGGATGCTAGACAGTGCGCAACCCAGCGCATGCGGCGCTTTGAAATGCCATGCGAACATGCTCATCGTGTGTACCGTCTACTCATTGCAGAGGATACAGCAATAGAAAGTCGCATCAATAGCTTGCACCTTGCCTTTCTTGCTTTACCTTGACGTTCTCTTCTGGTGTGAACGTCCCAGTTTTATTGGCTGGCAGTGACACGGGCCGGGAAAGCCTTTTCCAAATAGCACGGGAGTCCGTCCATGCGAGCATATCCTTTGCTCCATAGCTCTCAACGAAGGCAAGCAGCGCCGCGATTCACGGATACCTCTTGCTTGCTTCTAGTGCACACCTTCGAGCATTGAAGGGGGCCGCCGCTCGGTCTCCCCAAAAGACCCCTTTCAGGAACGATACCATTCGGGGCTGGTGGTGTTCTCTACTGCCATGTCGGGCTCGAATCTGTAGCTGCACTAGCCTATGCGAGCCCCCAAAGATCTTAAAGTCTGAAATGATGACAGAAACAGTGAGCAACATCGCGCATTGGAAGAAATTTCACCCAGTCCGCAGTTCTGCCACCGCAGAAGAGCCACTCCCCTCAGCTTCACTCTGGGCCATTCGATCTCCAATAGTCCACATCCTCGACATGTTCCCCCTGTCTTAACGATGGGAATGTATCTTGCGAGGTGCTTCGGTCCTGGACGCATCGCCGACGTCACCTCCGCTCATTGGCTTAGCAGGATAGACCGCACCGACTTCATCAGCCGGGATCCAAGCGAATTTGAAGCCTACCCCACTTGACCGGTTGCCGCATCGCCCAGAGTGCTGGGAAATGGAGAGTTACGTACATCTTCCAGTATACGATCGCTACAGAACGAAACGGCTCGTGCGACCATCAGCGCATCGCATGTACGCAAGGCGTAATGAAATGGAGCCAGTGCACAAGGTATGACTTTCTGATGAGGTAGGTGCAGGATCCACTAAAGATCTAACCTGGCAGGGAGAATGAATAACAACATCTGGAATTTCTAACACTTGCTGCATCCTGCGGATTTGGTTCATCATCGGTAGCAGAACTAGAGTTGCGGAGAGAGGCCGACGTGGAACAGACCTACCTCGAGCCTTCAATTCTGACCACACAACAAGCCCATCGCAAAGGCCGTTGATGCCAAATCCAACTTTTCTCCAGACCGAGGCTCAAATATAGAAAGAGATATATATATACCCCACACCGCAATGCAGGGGCACCAAAACAGTTTGCCGCAGAGTGCCGCCGTGTGAACACCAACCTGCCTATGCGAATATCACCCATGCCCCCACTCGGTCTTTTAGAAACTTTGCTTGGATGAAACGCACTACGCCAGTACGCCACCCATTGAATCTCCGAATTCCACTCACAACCCTTAGATACGCCCGGGCGATCCCCAGGCTAATCCACTTAGTCGAAAGGATTTCACCTTGTGCTCTCTCGTCTTCGACACATTCATATGCGGACGTTCGACATCGCCGTCCAATCCCAGCAGGTGCAGGTTTCCTCTCTTCTACATGCTTTAAGCCCTTTTTGAACGCAAATGAGCACTACATCCTGCGCGACATGTCACGTTAATATTCCAATATATCGCCACATTTTATGGACCATGACAGACTGATCAGCGGCGCTCGTGGCCGAGCCTGGGGCTTGTCACAATCAAGGAGTCGCAAAGAATCGAGATATGCCAGGATTTGGTACCTCTTTGGTCTGCCGCGTCGTTCTCCGAGGTAGATACGATAGCTTTCACAAAATGCGCTGTTCGTCTTTTGAAACCCCCATGGCTCGCTTTCCTCCTGCGCGAGCACTGGCACACCTTTGCCCAGTGGCGCTCGCAGTGTTCAGAAGCAAAGTGAAAGCTAGCTTCAGGCCACCTCGTCAGCAGTTGAGGATACGAAGTGAATAGGGCACGATGACCTTGGTCCACAAGTGTGGACGCGATGCGAGTCCAACATCGCGCGAGTCTGCGGCTGCAGATGGCGGTCAATGCTGCACAACACGAGCGGTTTTCCTCACCTCGCCTTGAAGGGGACAAAAAAATTGCAAGTCAATTTTAGGAGTTCGAATATACATGCTGGTTGTATAGCGTCTGCTTACTTCAACTGCTGTCCAATGACGCTTTCAGCTTCGAAGACGCGAGCTTGGAACTGGCTCAAGCCGCTTTGCCTACAATGCAGTCAATGAGTGCACAGGGACACCCATGCTCCAATTTGAGCTTCACTTTTCTTACATCTGCAATCATGTCGTGCGCAATCTCGTGCTGCTCAATTCGTCGGAATGGGGGGGGGGGATACAAGCGCTTGAATTTTACTGTCATGCTCTGCGCCTCTGTGACTCCCTCCTGCGTCACATCTTAGGAACCTCACCATCGTGGATTACTTGGCAGAAGGTGGAAGTAGACTTCAGCGCGTATCCAGCACTTTTATGACGATCTACCGCATAATAATTATTCCCCGTAGTTCTTTGCACAGTCGTGGATGATCAAGCACTGCTGTCCCCGAGGTGTGGGATGGAAGAAACGGCTACCTGACAGCGAGAGTTATCGAGCTGGGTTTCAAGACGCAGTCCTCGCGGCATCAGATGGTCAGGTGTTCTGGAGCGATTTTTGTCACCATATTCATGGCAGTCCGTTCACGTATTCCCGCTGGGAGGTGTTGGATGGATGCACATCAGCTCTAGCCAACGAGGCGCGTCGACAGAAGGAGCCGCTGATTGCTTGGTTTATCTTGCAAATGCAGTTTTGGGCATTGGATACCGAATGTTTCAAACTCATACAGCGAGGCCATTGATACGAAGGGAGCCTGACATTGCTTGTTCCATCTTCGTAACTCCCGGTATGTAGGACATACCATCAGCCATCTGCATTAGACTACTTAGAAGTTGCGCTCAACTCCGATTTTGGCTGGATGTTAGACGTTATCAATGCTGATCTGGCTCAATGAGGCTCGCTTCATCAATACGGTTCATTTCCCGGTCAGGATCTACGGATCCTAGTCTTACTCTGAGATTATGTGTCCGCCTGGCTGGCCGACACCTAGGACGAGCTATTTGACGCTATCGGTATCTGGAAGGCATTTGACGGGCAAATTGAATTGGCTGACGGTCATAGGATCATGTCCCATTTCGCGCCCTCGACCTTCTGAAATCATCACGCACCTTTCCCATCATCTTCAGGTTCTCAGGTGTACTTGCGGACCTAACAAGAAATTAGTCTATTCGTCCTGTCTACTTCCTTTCGCCAGCTTTTATCGCCAATTGATTCAACCCATTTCAAGCGATCTTGGGGCTCGGCAAGGGTTTGATCATGCGCTGCGCGATGATCGCAGGAAGGTCGATATAGCTCCGCGATGAAAATGGTTGATTCATAAGCGATCAATTTCTACGCTTGCTCTTGATCTGTGGTAGCTACAACAGGTTGGCCCTGCTTCGTATGATACTCATTCGCATTTGCAATCACACACCTCCAGTGTACTATTAATGTCTTCAGCAATGCTTAAGAAGTTGAAGTTCGTTTCACAGTGAAGACAGGATTCAAGATGCGAGATAGCTAGAAATATTTGCTTGAATCACCAGAAACCGTCTTCGTCATCACCACCTTTCGTCCGACCGTTGCTGACGGCTTGCTGTCTCTGATACATCTCGATGATCTGAAGTGTATATCAGATTGGGCGTGAGTTCCTCTCTGGCCCGCTCGTATATCAGCAATCGGCAAACAGACAAGACAATTGCTCACCTGCTCTGGGGATGTCGTGTCCTCAGGACCTTTATCGTCTCTCAGTCGGATGAAGCGCGGGAATCGCAGGCTGATACCACGCTGATCCACGGCGCCCTTGCCAGCCGTGTAAACTGGGCTGAGCGATAGATCGGCAGTGAGGACTTCAAAGATGACTTGGGGCTCGAAGAACACGTCCGGTTTGGCGTCGCCCATATCGTAGTAGCCCTTCTTGTTGGACAGTTCCAGAGGCTTGAGCAGCTGGTAGAATTGTAAGAGCTGCTCTTCGGAGAATCCAGTACCGATCTTGCAGATGGACTGATACGTCTCTGTATCAGCATCGTAGCATGCCAGCAAAAATGCACCGTAAACGTTTGTACGTTTGCCCTTCCCATAGAAGGCGCCCACTACGATTAGGTCAAGGCTATCGCCTGTGCCAGCCACTGAAGAGCAATGCGCAAGATGATCAGTAAAAGCAACACTAGAATCTAACTTGTCAAATTGAACTCACGATAATCTTTTTTAAGCTTAAGCCAATTCTGCGACCGCTGACTTGGCGCATACGTCGACGCGGCACCATTCAGCATCTTGACCATCAACCCCTCGCAGGAGTCTTTGACACTCGCATCAAGGAATGTCTGGATCTCCTCGACGGTGGTGCAATCCTCGCTGCGAGCAAAGTCGAATTCATTCTCGACCGGTTGGAAGTTCTCATGGAGGAGCTTGCGCCTGGTTGCAAGGTCGAGATGCAAAAGCGGCTCACCGTTAAGGTAAAGAATATCAAAGGCGAACAACTTGACTTTGACCTTGATATCCTCGACCTTGACATCCTTGCGCTTTCGTCTCGCCAACTCCTGGAAAGGAAGGAGATGGCCGCCGCCCGTCTGTGTACCACTCTCGTCGAATTCTGGCATCTTCCAAGCCACGGCCTCGCAATCGAGGCAAAAGCTCTTGACATCTTTGTCCGCCTTTCTGATTTTTGGCACCGATTCGATGAGGTCCGGATATTTCACGCTCATGTTCTCGGAATTGCGACTGAAGATGGCGAGCTGGCCATTCTCGAGATAATGCACCTGGGCCCGCTCACCGTCGTACTTGTATTCGCAGGTGAAGGCCTTGCCTTCGAAGCGGTCCAGCACCTCGCCGATCGCTTTCGTCGGTTTGGCAAGCATCGGTTTGAGAGGTACACCTGGCGTTAGCTTGCAGTGGTCACGCAAACCTTCGACGCCGTACTCGAGCAAAGCTGGTACGATCAGATCATACGATGGGAGCTCGCTGAACACGGCTCGCACGGTGGCGGTCCCTTCATCGAGCTTGGCTGCCAATGCGGCTTCGCTGAGCTTCTTGTTGACTTGCTTCGAGTAGATGATAGCCTGCGCAAGAGCGACAACGACACTCTTCTCCGCTAGGCCGATTCTGAGTTTGCCTTCCAGGGAGCGAATGAGGTACTTTGTCTCTTCACCTTGACACGCTGCGAGGAGCTTCATGATGATGCCAATCTTGCGATCCTGCGACTTATTCCCTGTCAGCTGCGCGATCTCCTTGAGCGATTTGAATACAGTCGGAACGGATAGCTTGGCCGCTTTGAACATTGTAGGCTGCTCTTGCCGGGACGCCACGGCGACGAGTCCCAAATCGCCTTTTTGCTCTAGCTCTTTCCTGATACGGCTCATCTCCCTGCCCGTGCTCTGTGCGATCGCCTTCATGAGTAAGGATTCGCCAATACCGAGCTCCAGGCCTTCGTAGTCCGGGCATAACTGCGTTGGCAAGATCGTGAATTCAGAATTCGGTGTCGCTTGGAGAAGGCAAATTAGCATTTCTCACCCTATTAATGCAGAGATACACGATCCGGAGCAGATTGTCCGGGCTTCGCTCACTGACCTGCTGCAGCAGCAGTGTCAAATGTTGCAGAATTTCAAGTCGTTTTGTCGTCGCCTCTATCTTCTCGAATGTCTCGGTGAGTGCAGAGTAAGGAACACTGTAAGGTACAGTCGTTAGCTCTTGGAAGCGCGTACACAATGAATCAACGTTGCTTGAACGCACGGGTCCCCGGCTTTCCAGCCCGCCTTTGTTTTGTTTTCGGGAGCTTTCTTGAGAAAAATGGCAGCTCTGCAGAGTACGGATCCAGTTAGAAGGTCATAACTGTCATGCTTTAACTTCTCTAAAAGCAGCTCACATTTTCTTCGCTGCCTTCTTCTCCTCAACCGGAGCCAAACCTGCTTCGTCTTCTTCTGCCTCCCCTTCCGATTCAAATTCAAAAGCACTCTCTTCTGCGGAGCTGTTGGCATCTGACATTGCTTCAATATCTTCGTCTGATGCCTTGGCTTTCACCTTGCCCTTTCTAGTATCCGTGCGTGTGACAACCGCCGGCAGGGCCCTCTGCCTAAAGCTAGACTCCTCGCTTTTTAAGGCGATCTTGGAAGACGAAGCAATGGCTTTTTGGCTGGCGTCCGAGCCTTGGCACGTAGTTTGGCCATTGCTGCTTGATGTCTTTTTCGCAGAGTCTTGTTTTTTCCTCGGAGGAGATGCACCGCCTCCTGACTCTTCGTCTGACTTTACAATTCTCCGCTTTTTCACCGTTGGTTCTGACGATGACGACCTGATCAGTTGATTTTCTGACGGCCAATGGAGTTAATGCCTTTGCTCACCTTTGTGGGCCGGGCTATCTCCTTTCTCACGGCGATTCGGTTCATATGCCGCCACCGCTGAAACTGGACTTGCACCATTAGTGTTCTCTGCACCAAGAATGGTACCAGATGCACCAGCTTCGTCAGCATGAGGGCTGACGGCATTGATCTCTGCCTTATCGCCTTCAGGGTCCTTCGGGTGCTTCTTGATTGCAACAATTTTTTTCGGTGCTTTTTCGGACAGGGCCGCTGTTGATTTTGAGTCTTCTTTGCAAGCAGAAGACTCAGAGGCTGTTGCGGTGTCTGTATATCCCTTGTTACCACCAAAGAAAGCGCTGCAGAAAGCCGAATATAAGCCACATTCTGATGTTCCGGCTGGCAACCGATAACTGCACTCACCCTAATGTACGCTGTTTGTTCATGGTTCTGAATCTGATACTGGATAGCAACCCGAGGTCTGATGTAGTACGTGACAGCACAAGAACTGCAGAATTGACCTGAGCGATCGATTGCCTTTGCCCGGGCGATACCCGCAGAGTTCTACAGACTTGACCAAAGCGAATCCGGTTTAGGCGCATAGCATAGCCCTAGTGTGCCCCGAGCTGCACTATCACGTAACGGAGGCTATGACACAGGTAAGCTGTCAGTACCAGCTGCAGCTGAACAAGAAATGTGCCGTGCCTTTGAGCAGTGTCTCCTTTCTCGATCAGACAAAAGCTGTTCATGGTGAGCCGCTAGCAGAAAGGAAGAGCGCAGTCATGACGCGCTCGCGCTTTAACTTTCTTGCGACGCGACGCGACGCGTGACGCCCGTGTGTCGTCTGTCGGCGCTCTCACGTTCCTCCACTTGGCAATATAGCATGGCGTATCACGCATGTGAAATTGGAGGGACATTCGTGAAGGCCCGAATGGCCGCAAGAGTCCTGCTTAAGACTCAGGATGCAAGAAAAAGTACATAGACTATGTTACAAGGGAACATTATGTCGGATAATAACCAAGGGAAGTCACGCTCGTGAAAATGTGCGAAACCGCAGAAAGACCAGCATGCGTCATGCAACAGCCGCAGCGCGTGCCCGAAAAGCAGTAGCCGCAGCAACCTTGCCGCCGACGTTCGGCCTCGCCGTGCCCCCGGGCGGAGCGTTCTCCTTGTCGTTGCTCTGCTCAAGTGGCATGCCACCCTTCTGTGTGAGCCGCTCCACAACGCTCGTTCCGTCCCGAAAGCGTGCTCTGAAGAGCACATTGGCATTGGTGAAGAGACCTTCCTTCAAAGAGACGACGATGAATTGTGAGCCAGAGAAGCGCGACTTGAAGAGCTGGCCAATGTGCTGTGTGTGCGACAGGTCTAGTGCCGCGTCAATCTCGTCCAAGATGTACATCGGAGCCGGTTTGAATTGCAGCAGTGACATGATCAGACTCAGTGCGATGAGAGATCTGTACGAATCAGGAAACTTGTCAGCATCTCCTTCCGGGCAACTTAAATCGAAGCCATGCAACGCTCACCGTTGCCCGCCACTCAGCTCAGTGAGCGACTGCTTCCAAACAGTGCCCAACCGTACCTTCACTTCGAGGCCTTGCGTGAGTTCTTGGCCTTCTGGAGGCTGCAGCTTAGCAAAATTGCCTGGTAGAAGCTCGGCAAAGATATCACCAAAGTCGCCGTTAACCTTGCGCCACGTTTTCTCCAATGCCTCCTTCTTGTAGCAGTCCAGCTCTTGGATGGTGTCCTCGATCTTGTCCTTATCTTTCAAGATAGTCGACATCATCTGTTTGAGGCTTTGCTCCTTCTTCTCCACACTGTCGATCATGTTCATCACCTTCGGATTGACTTTCTTCTGCAGGCCATGCTGTCGCTCCTCGAGCTTGTGGCAATCACGCGCGACTTCCTTCATATTATATTTCTTGAAATCGTACGCACCGCCGGGCGTGCCGAACAGCTCCTTGTCTGTCTGGATCCACCCGAATTGCTGCTCAAGCTGATCGATGCCTTTCTCCGCCGTCGCATAGTCTGCTTCCAGTCGTTCGACCTCGTGTTGTAGCTGCTTTACAGTCAGATCAGCGTCCGCAATGCCCTGACGCTTCTTCTTGACGGCGTTTCGGAGCACGTTGAGCTCGTCGTCCGACGCAGACTGGGCAGCTCGCTCCTCGAACAGCTGCTCTTCCAGCTTGTCCACCTCGGCCTGAAAACAGAGAGAACGTTTCAGCGAAGCTCCTTGACACTTGTGGGAAGACTGTGCTACGGACCTGCATCTCGGCTGTCTGGGCTTTATGTGTCTCGAGCTCTGCGGCCGCTTTCGCCACCATTTTACGCTGCATCTCGATCTCTGCTTCGGTGCTAGCAATCTCCCCTGCTCCGACGTCAAGCTCGAGCGCGAGCGTGCGGACCTGGTTCTGCCTTGCTTTGATTTCCGAGGCTGTCTTTTGGACCGTCGCTTTACGATCTTTGATCCTCTTTTGCAGCTCTTCAAGCTTCGACTGCTTATCTGAGCCAAATTCTTCAATCTCTTTCTCGTAGAATGTGATCTCTTCTAGCGCTTTCCGCTTCTTCTCCTTCGCCGCTTCAACAATCTTCTTGAGCTCATCAATGCTCTCTCTCGCCGTCTTGACCTCACCCTCCAGTCGAGCAGCAGTCGAGCCTTGCAATTGATTGTCCAGCAAGGTCACCTCGCGACTCTTGGTTTGCAGCTCCAACAAAGCAGGCGCCAATGCCTCAGATTTGGCCACCTCAGCCGCTAGCTCTGTCTCGCAGGTCTTAAGCTCGCGCTTGACGGCCTGAAGCTCATTTTGAACATTGTTCAGCTCCTGCGCTTTGACAAAGATCCCTCCCATGCTGGACTTGCTGCCTCCAGAGAGCGTGCCCGCTGGGTCGTAGACGTCGCCATCCAAGGTAACACTCTTGAGCTTGACAGCGCCATCGAATGTTACACGCTTGGCCGTCGCGGCATCCGCGCATATCAACGTGCTGCCAAAGACATACTGCATCGCGGTGGTAACTTCCTCCCCATAGCCAATCAACGACAGCGCAAGGTCGACTTTGCCAGGCGCGAGTTTTTGCGCAGCTCCTACCTTGGCAGCTGACGCCACGAATGCACTGATCTTATTGAGAGGTAATATTGTCACGCGCTTGCGGAGCTTGCCATTGGCGAGTAGCTGCCCGCCGGTCATCTCATCCTCGACGACGACATTATACAGCCTACCACCTGCACAAACCTCGAGAGCAGTTGAGAAGTGCGCCTTGCCCGGATCAAGTTGAATCAAGTTCGCGATGAGACCCTTGACCTTGGAACGATCAAAATCTGGTGTGGGGTCCGAGTATGTAAAATCGAGCGCAGAGAGTCTCGAGGCAATTGCATCTCTACGTTCAGAGAGGTTGTCAAGCTTGCTGGCGAGCTCTGAGCGCCGCTGACGAAGCGCCCTGCTCTTCTGATCGTCGTACCCAGTCGCTGTGATTTTGGCTTGAAGCTGATCGACCTTTGCCTTAGCGACTTCTAGCTGCTGGACGAGTCCGCTGCTCTCCTTGCGCGCCTGCACCAAGGTCTGCTCTGAGATTTTGACCTGATTCTGCATATGGTCGATCCGCATATTGCTGTGCTGCATCTCATTGTCGGCAGCGGCATCGCGAGCATGTGCATCTGCCAGACGACCCATGTACCCGCCGCCCTTGTCACCCGCAGAAGCTTTAGCTGCCATTCCAGTCGTCAGAGTCTGCAGCAGCTCTTCCTCCTTGCTGATCTCATCCAGTGCCGCTTCATGCGCTTTCTTGAAGTCTGCAAAGGCTGCAATGACCTTTTCATGCTCCTTTCCCTTCGCCATTCGAAATGCTTTCACGTCTGTGAGCGCCTTCTCACTCGCAATCATACGCTTCTCCTCTTCTTCGAGCGCGGAGATCTTAAAGTTGATGCCAGTCTTGACTTTGACTAATTCGTCCGAGAGCGCCTTGGAGCGCTGCATGAGGCATTTCAGCTTACCACCCTTGTTCAACTCCATTTCTCGCCGCTTCTCGATGGTCTCCAACTCCTTCTCGATGCTGCTGATTTGGCGCTTCAAATCGCTGGCCTCTTTCTCCTCCACCCTCCTTTGCTTCTGTTTTTGTGCGAGAGTTGTTCTGCGCTCTTCGAGACGCGCGCGGAGTGTCTTCCATTCCCATGCTTTAGCAAGGCGGGTCAGACGATCCAACTCGGAGGAAATCTTTTGATACTCGAGGAATGAACGCTTCTCCTCTCTCAGCTTATCCAGCTTTGGCGTGATCTCTTCGGTCAAAAGCTAGAGGCAGACAGAAGTATGAGATGCCTTGAAGTCACGATTACGCCTCTTTTATGCACTCACCGCGTTGATCTCCTTGACTTTTTGATCTTTCTTGGACATTGTCTTGATAGCTTTCTCTTTTCGGTCCTCGAACATCCTTGTTCCAGCTGCCTCCTCAATCATACTCAGGATCTCTGCTGGCTTCATGTTGAGCACTTTGGTAATTTTCCCCTGCATGATGAGAAAATTGGGGTTGTTGATGTTGAGCTGCACGCTTTGGAACATGTTTTGAACTGCTTGAAGTGTCGCCTTGTGGCCATTGATGAGGTATTTAGACAAGCCGCCCATGGCGACTTGCCGCGTGACCGTGATCTGAGCATAGTTCTCAAAAGAGACGGGAGACGTGGCTCGGTCGCTGTTGTCAAAGACGATCGTCACGCTAGCCTTTGTGACGCCTGCTTGGCCTCGCTTGTAGATCAGGTCTTGAAGGTTGTTGGCGCGCACCTGTGGGTGAGCGACAGCGCGTCAGCAAATGCCATGGGGTTCATAGCACGAAGAGCAAGGCATCACGCGGACACATACAGCTGAGAGGTTGGTTATACCCAGAACAAAGCAAATCGCATCGAGAATATTGCTCTTGCCGCTACCATTGAGACCGGTGATCGCGTTGAAGCTCGGGTCGAATCCAGAGACGTGCGTGCGCACCGGATACGACTTGAAGCCGTCGATGATGAGCTCTTCGATCCTCATTTTGGAGGCACTTGGTGCTCTCGGTACAGTCGGACGATCTGAAAAATCCCGAATAACATTCGTGGAGTAGAGTAACATGTTGGAGAAGGTCGATGATGTCCGTGACCTATCATACGTGGTGCGAACATGGAGAGTGCGCGTGTTGTTCGGCAGTACCTTGTCCACGCGAAGATGAGAACGCGTCGACCGCTACACAAAGTGCGCGTGTTAGAAGGTCACGTGATACTGCATTCGCAACAACTCGATTCACTCCTTGGGTTTTTGATTTTCGCACCATAAGATGTTGCTGGTTCATTCCTTGACCAGGGCTTTTCTAATATGCCAATCCTCCATCATTCCATGATGAACATCCACCAGTTCCACGTATCAAGTCGCCTTGAACAATCATGCGCAAGCTTCAACGTCCAGCTTGACCAATCGATTCGTGGCACTTTATCGCCTTGCACTCAATGGTCCCCCACCCTCGCACCGTCACCAACATCTTCTCAGGGGAAGATCCGTACATAAGATCACAGTAGATGGATATTTGGCTCACGATGTATAATACCAATATTGACCATTAGTCTATCCTTTGATGTGCATAGGCATTAACGCCACTTCCGCGCCTGATGGAACGAATTGTTTCTAGCCATACAGCGAAACAAATGACCGACAGCCTGAAATATTTCACACGTATCTGAGCGTCATTTATACCATCACCTTCGAAGACTTTGACCCTGTATTCAGCGGTAGGGGATGTGCTTACCCAAAGATACGTTGTGAGAATCAGTCTCATTTACGTATGTATCAAGAATATCTTACGAATCGGGTTTCAATCCGTTCCACGGTAAGTTATCATTTTGAGGCGATCTGGCTCGATTCTAAGGTTTCTTGATGCCAGTTCATCGATCATGTCATGCGTGGCTGAAGGGCTGAAAACCAGCCACGTACCAGGTTCGTGCGCCGTGCGCCGACCATGGCGTAGGATGTCGCCGGCCAACCGTCGGCCGTCGCCAGGAGCGGTTTTCGAAGCGTTTGGCCGCAGCGGCCAGTGTTGCCAACACAGATCGGGTTGAGCTCCCATCAACCAACAGCCTTGTCTGACATGTGCAGCACATTGTATGTGTGCAACACCTTTCTCACATCGCATAAATAGTATTCACACATCTCATTGCATTCTCTCAATGCATCTAGTCCCCAACGTATTCACTGCACCCTGAGTCCAAAAGCGACCGGCACTGATCCCACCGCTTTCGGCAATTTGGTCTCTAGATGTTGCGACCTGCCTGCCAAAAAGTGAGCCACGGTGACAACTGTAGAGCAGCATGGTGGTACATGGTTGCTCGTCCAGCCTGTCTATCACGATACGGCCCTAACTGATTTTCCGACATACGAAGAGGCAGAGAATCAAAGAGCAGCCGGAAAGTTGTGTGGTCAATGACGAGTTAAGATCTGGTGCCTCGAACAATGGCTAAGATCGAGATGAAGATCCTAGGCGTTGCCTTCACGATGTATGATGTGGAAGAAACAAGCTTATATGCCGTGCGATTTAATTTGTAAGAATTGACGGCGGTGGAGCAGGGAAGCAAATTGTGCCCAGTTGATGTAGTACTTAAAAAGTAGAGCGGAATGGGCTCGAAGCCCTTGGCAAGGTACGGAGCAAGTTATGGTACGAAAATCAACAACCTCTCATACCTTCCATCCATGCGAATGTCTTATCATGATGCTCAGCGTCAATGTCACATGCTATTCGACGACCATCATTCAGCTTTCTACCCGAATCTCATAATAAGCACAAAGAGTCTGCATAAGCGCATGCTATTCAATCGATAAGATCAAAAATGACCAGCGTCTACTCTAACGAAAGTAATCAGAGCGTCATCTCGGCGCTGCTGGTCCATCGGATCGACAGTGGCGTGCTCCTGTCGGCCGGCGACCTTCGGCGGTTACAAGCGGCTCGGAATGCATCCGAAGGGCCAGCAGCGGCTAGCAAAGCCAACTTACTGCACCCTGCGCCTATAATTGGCTCGAATCCGCCTCCTGGTTGCCCGATGCACGCCTCATCGCCTTCGTCTTCATCGCCGTCATCCTCATCACGAACCCCGGCGAGCACTGGCAGCTCCCAGCTAAAGCGCGCACTGCCAACATCGTTTGCAGCTCTTTCGTCCAAAGCATCCGGCTCGATGAGCTCGGCCTCGGGAGACGCATGCCCTGTTCCACACGATCAGCGCGATGCATACATGGCCAGTCAGGGCCAGAACAAGAAAATTGCAGAGCAGCTCAACCCGCTGAACAATATGCCTGAGCTTGCTCAAAGCGCCATGTCCTCTAAACAACATTCGTTGCTGTCCACAGAACGAACGTTATCATCTATCCCCCGATCCGTCGTGTCCCCCTCTCCGGGTGCCTCGCCATACGATGCGCCCACCCCTCCAGGGGCGTGCCCGGTAGCGCACGACGTCAAAGGCAAGGGGAAGGAGGAAGCAGTACATGGTCAAGTGTCGCACTGGGAGTACCCGTCGCCCCAGCAGTTCTACAATGCCCTAGTGCGAAAAGGATGGGAGACTCCAGAGGAACACGTGGACATGATGGTACTTATCCACAACTTCCTCAATGAGCGCGCTTGGCAGGAGGTGATCGAGTGGGAAAGGCTGGCTGGGACGTGAGTGACATGGTCAGTTCAGATGCAATCAGCGCGTGGAATTTGCTAACTTGTACTTGCACCTCGCCTAGTGATGTGTCACGCATTCAGCTCGCGCGCTTCCAAGGTCGACCAGGCACACTCTCTCCCAAAGCCCGCCTGCAGGGCTACCTCGCATGGCTGATGCCATCCAAATATTCATCCGAGCCGCCATTCGATCGTCACGACTGGATCATCCAGCGTCCTCCGCCTGCATCCGCAGCGAGCGAGTCACCGTCCCAACCGTCATCGACGGAAGCAGACCTTAAGAGCCGGCAAATCCGATACGTCATCGACTACTACGAAGCGCCATCTGACCCTGACGAAGATGAGGCTGCATTTAACCTGGACGTCCGGCCCGCAGTAGACAGCTTCGAAGCGCTCAAGCTGCGCGCTCGGAGGGTGTACGCAGAGTGGGGAAAGGAGCAACATGAGCAAGTGGGGCAGGCGCATGTGCAAGGCTGAGCCATGGCATGGCGAAATGTATCTTTTATTGCATCACCGATAGATCACCTTTTATTGATTTGGGTGCAGCCTGTCACTTTACCGATCGCGGGATTTAGGCATTACAGTCCACCTGCCGCACACGCAGCCCACAGGTCGTCTGGCCAGACGAAGTAGAGGACCAGAGGGGTCAGCTTACAGCCTAACTAGGGCAGACCGCGGTAGACAGGAACACATACCGCCGATGTGGTGAATGTTATCTATACCAATCCCTTTCCCGGCTTGTCTGATATCTTCGGTGCTCATCTTAAGCAGCCCAACCGCCACTGGGTGCTCTTTTCCTTGCGCAAAGATTGCCACTGGCGCGTTGGCCGGCAGGGCCTTGTCGGCCTCCGGTAACCGCCCGCCTGCAGATGTCAACCCTGGTGACATGATGTTTGCACCCGAGAGTACGAAGCGAATGGCACCGCGGTCTACCTGGACGCTTGGCATTATGAATGGGTCTGCAGGAATGTGGAAGAGAGTTGGAGAAAAGCTGTCTACATGATGACACTCCCAGCGAGCAGGCAATTCGACCTACTCACATTTTTGTAACAGCTGCATGGTTGGAAAATATGGCCCATCAAAGTGCTGAAAGAAGATTGGTTCTTTGTTGTGCACTAGTATTGATACGTGCTCCCGGCTACGAATGGCAGTGTACGTCCATGTCAATATCTCTGGGGGTGCCGCTCGCCTACTTGATAGCTCACCTGAATTTCACGAGGATAATACCTTCCTTTTTGGGCCAAATCTGCTCCAGCAGCACACCCTCGTCCTTCCCAAGCGTGTCAGGGTATTGTTCCAAGAGCTTTGACCGCATGCCACGCTGCACAGACGACTTCACTGCGGTCGAGGAGGCGATGTCGCCTTTGGCTGGCGAGAACGTTTTGAAGAGCGACATTTTGCTCGGAGTTCAATGCTCGTTGTGATTAAGGTAGCAACGCAGTGAGGCCCTTGAGCTGCTTGGATCGCAGGAATGTACAACAAGGCGACGTATAGAACGGAGACGATGGTTCAATCGGCAAGATCGATGGGAAGAGAGAGAGAGAGATCAGCTGCAGGCCGACATTCATCACAGCTTCAGATTTGTCCGATGACATCTCTCGATCGCATACTCAATAGACATATGTTCGTTGTTCCGCCTCGCTATTCACCCGATCACCCGTGAACAGCACTCTCATTTCATTCAAAGGCATCGTTCCTCGCAGCATATTTGCAGAGACTCTTGGGCAGAAGTGAGGGATGCAACATTTGAACTCTGTTTTCGGCGGTCCAACCGTCATCAGGGGCAAACCTCGCCTTCCGTTCATCCCCAATCGCATCTGCAGCAAGGCCACTGCGCCGCGTCGGATTGAAGGCTCCTTTACCGCTCGGGGCGGATCGCACAACTGGAGCTCGTGATTCAAGACAGATCCGCGCAAGATGTTCCCATACAGCGGCCCAGGATCCCCTCCCGGCATGAGCGCATACTCGGCGCCGGGCTCTCCGCCGGGCGGGTATGGACCCGCTGCAGCAGCTTCGCCGCCGTACATGGGCGTGACCTATGGCGGAGCGGGCAGTCCGCCATCCAGCTTCATGCCGCCTCCTGCATCCATGGCCGGGCCTAGCTCAGCAGGCGCCGGTACCGGCAGTCGCGGTGGGCGCGGCTCGCGTGGCGGGCGCGGCTCACGCGGAGGTGCAACCGAGGGCCCCAAGCGCGGTGGTCCTGGATCAAGAGGCGGACGAGGCTCGCGCGGCGGTGCGGGCAGAGGGCAGGCACGAGGAGATGGCACTGGAAGGGGTCGGGGCTCGAGAGGCGGTGGCAGAGGCGCAGCTAGAGGCGGGCAAGGAGGAGCCGCC